GGGGCCCCGCCCGGCCCCGCAGGGCGCTCTCCCCTCGGCCGCCGCAGCGCATCCCCGCACGTCCGCCGCCGCGGCCTCACCGCCCCCGGCCCCGCAGCCCCGTCCCGCCTCCGCCCTGGCCCACCGGAGCCCTCCCCGTCTCCGCGCCCACCCTGGGGTCCCCGGCTTCCCGCGCCCCACCCCCAGCCTTCCCCCCATCGGCCCCGCTGCTGTGCCCCGTCCCCAGGGCCCTCGAGCCAGTATCCCCGCCGCGTCCCGCCGCCCCCGCACCCCTGCCTCTGCTCCCCGGAGCCTGCCGCAGCCCCCACTGCAGCGAGCCCCCCTTCCTCCCCGTCAGACCCTCCCCCTCCCTCGCCCGGGCCTGCGGGCCCCTCCGCCGCCCCGCCCGCGCCGGCCGCACCCACTGCGGCGAGCCCCTTCCCCGCCAATCGCGGCGCCCGCCCCCCGCGCCCGCCCCCGCCGCCGCGCCCACTGCGCCAGCGCCCCCTCCTCGCTGCGCGGCGGCGCTGCCGCACCTCCAGACCCCTCGCGCCGCCCGTGCCTCCGGGGCGCGCGGTCCTCCGTCCCCGGCCGGCAGGCGACCGGCGCCCGGGGCGCCCGAACCCCACGGTGGCGGCGGCCACGGCCCCCCAGGGCCGCCTGGCCTCCGTTATGCCGCCTGCGACGCAGCCCGGACCGTCTCGGGCTCGGGGGGCGGACCCCTCCCTCCCGGCGCAGGGGCGTCCGAAGCCCGAGCCCCTCGGTTTCCGGTCCCAGCGTGTGGCGGAGGGTCGGCGTCCGCGGCAGAGGGGCTCCCTGGTGACGGGTCCTTTGGCTGAGGGGGGGGCTGGGGGGAGGGGCAGGGACGGGCTCTGGGGGCCGAGGGGAGGGGCTATTGCCGCTGTTGCTGTTACTAAGGGGGGCGGTGAACCGTTCTCCCAGGTGGGTCCGAGGCCACCATCATGGGGGACCCCAGTGCTTCGGGACTGGCCTGGGGCAAAGGCTGGGGGTGGATGAGGAAGGGGGGCGGCAGCTGGGCAGCGGGGTGCCCGGGGACCCTCCGCCATGTGTCCAGTGCCCGGCCCCGCGGGCTGGTGGACACGCCAGCAGGTCCTCCCTCGGCGGCTGGAGGCGGCTGGGAGCGGGGTGGGCGCGGGACGCCGTCCAGAGGAGGGTCTGCTTGGGGCCGTTTGCGCATCGAGCCTGCTGCGGGGCCCAGCATCGAGCAGAGGGCAGGGGAGGGAGGGGCCCCTGCCTGCTTCTCCGTACCTGTGCTCCTCGGTGTTGGGGGGCCATGGTGTCTGGAATTGACCGGGTCACCTGTTCGGCACAGTCGGGGAGACCACTCAAGCGGAGGGCCGCCGGTGGGTGGGTCGCTCGGTGCAGAGAATCTGGACTGTAGTCGCTGTAAACGTGGTGGAGCAGGCTGGCTGTCCGCACCCCGCGCCGTGGAAGCTTCTGGAGGGGGCTTGGCGGGGCGCCATCTTTCCCCATGCAGCCAGTCTCCGTGGGAGGCTCTGGCCCCCGTCACAGGGCTGCCGCGCCGTGCCCAGCAGCGGAGATGGGGACCATGTCGGGGTGGGGGGTCTGGGCCGACGCGTTGGGGTGACCCTGCTGCTGGGTGGGCTGGATGGGGGTGCCTTTTGGAGGCTGCCAGCGCCCCGGGAGCTGTCAGCAGGTGGCAGGAGGGTGTGAGTCTTACAGACCCATGGGGTCAGTGGGGTGGCCCAGGAGGTCTGAACCCCAGCCAGGGAAGTGAGTGCAGGACCTTCAGCTGAGAAGCAGGATGGGCAGTCTGGGTTGAGGGCCCTCTCCTCTCCGCTCGCTCGGAACACCTGGGGTCAGCGGAGGAGGCAGGGGCCCAAAGGCTGAGGGGAGGGGGGGTTCGGGAAGGGTGTAGCTGGCTGCCCAGAACTCAGCAAGGGGGCCGGCAGAAAGGAGGGCGGGAGGCTCGCTGGCCAGCTGTCAGAGCAGCCTCGGTGCTGGTGCCAAGGGAGGGGTCAGGGGGGAGGGGAAAGGCCACGGGGTGGGGAGTCGGGTGGGTGAGAACAGTGGACCTGGCAGCTTCAGAGTGAATTTGGAGTTGGGGTTGGGGTTGGGGGTGGAAGGGTTTGAAGGCGAGGAGACTCAGTCTGACCTGCACACCTCCCCGGTTAGGGAGCTCATCCCTTCTCCTGGCAGATTCCCATCCCTCCAGCACTGCTGGACTCTGACCAGGAGGGGCCGGCTTCCATCTGCAAGGGGGTACCCTGCAGAGCCCACCTCTGCCCGCTTGAGGTCCAGGACCAGCACATGACCCACACCCAGGCCAAGCTGGGCCAGGCTGGGCGGAGGGGAAACAGAGCCTTCGCACCGGGACCACCAGCCACCCCGTCTGCCTGCAGTGGGCTTGGGGGGCTGCCTCGGCCCAGCCTGCCCGGGGCCTCAGGCCGGTGTCCGAGCTCTGGCTCCGTGTCTTCACTCCCGTGTGTGTCCGAGGAGGGAGGGAGGGACGGGGGCTGTGCTGGGGCTGCCGGAACAGCACAGGTCACCGGGCAGCTGGGCGAGGTTGCCAGGCAGGCTGCTGGGCGGGGCCAGCGCACAGCTGTGAGCCGTGGGTGGGCTGAGGGTGCCTGGGAGCCCCAGAGCCTTCCCCGGGGAGTTCCCCGTGTCTTTGGGGTTTTGACTCACCTTTCTGTGGACTCTGTGTGCTGTCTGCATGAATGTATGGTTTCAGGAGCGGGTAGGGTGGCCCTCTAGGGACGAGGTGAGTTCTGGGGGAGCTCAGCCGGCCCAGCTGCTGCTGCCCCTCTGGCCTGTGAACCCGCCCACTTCAAGAGCTGTCTGCTCACCTGCTGCCCCAGGAACCAGCCGCCTGGCCTGAGTCCCCGTGGAAGCGGAGCCCAGGCTGGCACCTGCCTCCCCCACCCCGCTCACCCCCACCCCCAAGCAGCAGGCAAGGGTCCTTGTCAAGGGTGCTCTCCTGGTCCCTGCTGTTGGGGGAGGGAGGCTGGCAGGGTGGGGTTCTCTGGTCAGCATGGGGAGGGGCTCAGGTTCTTCCTGGCCACCTGCTGCTCTCGGTGTGTGTGGGGGGGGGCGGGGCAGCAGCTTTGTCTGCCCTGCTCCGCGGCTGGCGCCCCTGGGGAGGCCCAGGGCCTGCCCTGTACCTGCCCAGGACCCTGGGCCTCACTTGAGTCGGCAGCAGCGCCTAGAGGGAAGGGCAATAGCTGGGGATGCCTGCCTGTCCCGTCCCTTCCCGCCTGGAGGTGCCTGCTCCCCTCCCAAAGTGGGGCAGGGACGGGGACGCCTCCTCTCTGCCAGGCCCTTGGGAACTGGGCTGTTTCTGGTTCCCAGGAGACCTGGAAGGCCTGGAAGGCCTCACCACGCCAGGGGTCAGGTCCCAAACCTCTGACTGCAACCCTGCAGGCCGGGGGCCCGCTGAGGTGCGGGGTGCACAAGTGGTCCTGCTGCTGTCTGTCACCTGACCCAAGGGCCCTGTCCTGCTGCGCACCTGGCTGGGGCTGGAGGGAGGGTGTCAGATGGGCCTCGAGCAGGGGTGGTCCTGAGACATGCAGCCCCGTTGGGGGCAGGGCAGAGGAGAGGGGTGTCTGAGAGCAGAGGCCTGGGGGGTGAGGGGAGGGGCTGTCTTTGCCCCTCTCCCTCCCCCCTGCTTTTTGACCCCCAACACCTGCCCTTACCCACCTCGTGGGGTGGGCTCTTCCAGGTCCTCCGACACCCTCCCTGTGGTTCCGCCCAGGTGTGCACCTGCAGCCCCTCCTCCCTGGCCCTCAGCCCCCCTCCTCGCTGTCACATCGAGGGCCTGCTCTGTGCCTTGCCCGGGCCTGGACAAGTTCCCCGTTTTGTCCACTCCGCCAGCCTGCTGGGACCTGTGCACACGGGCGCGGGAATGAAGACGCTCACGCTTGTGACCCCGCCGCTCACCGGGCTCTGGCGCCATCCCAGTAGGCTCTCGAGGGTTAGCCCAGCCTCAGGATAACGGGGGCCCGCAGTCTGGCCGCCTGAGTGGCCCTGAAACCTAATCTCTGCCCGCCTCCAGTTCCTGGTCCGTGAGGTGGGAGCCCAGCGCCCACCTCAAAACCGCAGCTGTTATAAAACTGGGGCCAGCAGGTTTTTGGGGTGCTCCCTCTCCCGAGAGCAAGTTGAGGGGCCCCTCCCCTGGGCCCCTTCCTGCCAGACTGTGCTGACTCGGAGCTACCCTCTGCCTGCCCTGGAGCCGGACAGGGCACTGCTGGGACCTGTGGCCTGCGGGGTGACGGGCCTTCGAGGGTGCAAAGGAGGGAACAGACCTGGACAGGGGCGGGCTCACGTCAGGACCCCCCCCCCCCCAGCAGGCTTGTTCCCCAGCCCTGTTCTGCCTGACCCGGTGGTCTGTGCCCTTTGGGGCCGTTGCCTCTGGCCAGCCCAGAACTGTCCCCGGGCACCCCCATAGTAGGTTGGGTCCACCCAGACCTGCTGTTCAGTGGGACCTTGAGCCCCAGGTAGTGGTGTGGGGAGGGGACTGAGTCTGCCCTGCCTGCCCCTCAGGGACCCCGTTTTCACTCCCTGTCCTCAGCCTGGGCCTGGGTGGGTGAGGGGCGCCAGGCAGGCCGAAAGCCTCCTGCAGTGAGCTCTGAGTTGGGCAGCCCTCGCCTACCCCCATGCACGGAGCCCAAGGCCACTCTGCGCTGGGTACAGATATGACCCGAGCTGCCCCAGTCCCCGAGCTCTTCAGTGCGTGGTGCCAGTGGGGTGCAGATGACACCCAGCATCCTGCCCTGGGCTCGGCCTTCTGCACCCCTGCTTCATGCCCATGCTCACTGGGCTTGCCCAGGAGGTGAAGGGGGGGGGGCTGCCCAGGCCTACCCCACCCCCATCTGCCTTCACCCAGGCATCAGCACCTGGGCTGTGCCCACTCGGGCCTGCCATCCACACCTATTCCGCCCCAGAGACCCCACCAGCCTGGGGCGGGCAGTTCTGGTCTCTCAGCTGCCTTAGCCGGGTCCATGTCCCCAGCCTCACACCACCGCCCCCCACACACACAGGTGAGCACCTGCGGATCTGCCCCCAGGGCTACACCTGCTGCACCAGCGAGATGGAGGAGAACCTGGCCAACCGCAGTCGCGCCGAGCTGGAGACTGCGCTCCTGGACAGCAGCCGTGTGCTGCAGGCCACGCTGGCCGCCCAGCTGCGTGGCTTCGATGGTGAGTGGGCCCCGGGGCTCAGGGACCGCAGGACGCCGAAAGGGGGTCTGGGCACGCGGGGCCTCACCTGGTAATGCGGAGTCAGGGGAGTTGAATTGGGGTAGCGCTTTGGGGCTGGGGTCTTGGATTTAGGGGCCCCAGGAGCAGAAGGCTACCGTGTGCAGGGCTCTGAGCACGGGTCTGCCTCCAGCCCACAGTGAACACGGCCCGACATGCATGTTTGGGGGTGTGGAGCCATCCTCTCCATCGGGCCCTCAGAGGGGACCCCCTGCCCTCCAGGAGGCTCCATTCAGGGGTGGCCTAAAGCCAGGGAGCCAGTGTGAAGGTCGAGATTGGGCCGGGGCAGGGCTGGGCCACAGACTGCTGGTCTGCCCGGGGGTGGGGCAGGAAGAGTGGACAGCCCCAGGGCAGCTGCCAAGATTGTCATTCATTCCCAGTCCCTCGGGGGCGCAGAGCAGAGGACCTAGACAGTGAACGTGGGGAAGACGTGTTGATGCCTAAGTGGGTGCAGTGGTTCCCCGGGAAATGACCTCTGCACTGAAGTCTCCCTGGATGGGTAGTGCTGGCCGGATGGGGTACCGAGCCTGAGCAGAGAGATCGGGGTCCGGGGCACCCAAGGCTCACTGGGGCCCCGGGCTTGTGCCCTGCTCCTGTTCACAACAGCTGGCCTCGCGGGCTCCCAGGGAGCCGGGGTCCCCGGGGTCCCCTCCACATGACGGCTGGGCCGGGCAGCTTGCACTGGCCTCAGCTCCTGAGGGCTCACCTGCTGAATCCTCAGCAACACCCCGCACCCCTGGGTCTGTCCCGTGTGTGGGGACCCTGTGTGGGAGTCCTGGGCGAGTCCCCTGAAGCCTGGTTCAGCGGCCACAGCCTTCGGGGTGACCTCACGGCCGCCTCCCTGTGCCCAGACCACTTCCAGCAGCTGCTGAACGACTCGGAGCGGACGCTGCAGGACACCTTCCCTGGCGCCTTCGGGGAGCTGTACGAGCAGAACGCCAAGGCCTTCCGGGACCTGTACGCGGAGCTGCGCCTCTACTACCGCGGGGGCAGCCTGCACCTGGAGGAGACGCTGGCCGAGTTCTGGGCGCGCCTGCTCGAGCGCCTCTTCAAGCAGCTGCACCCGCAGCTGCTGCTGCCCGAGGACTACCTGGACTGCCTGGGCAAGCAGGCCGAGCCCCTGCGGCCCTTCGGGGACGCCCCCCGCAAGCTGCGCCTGCGAGCCACCCGCGCCTTCGTGGCCACCCGTGCCTTCGTCCAGGGCCTGGGCGTGGCTGGCGACGTGGTCCGGAAGGTGGCCCAGGTGCGCTTAGCTGCCAGGGCTCTCAGAAGCCCCTTGGGGACCCACGCCCCACCCCGCTGCTTCGAATCCCAGCCCCTGGGCCTCTGGCTACCCCTGACCCTGGGTTGCTGCCTGGGGACCTTCAGACAGGACGTGAGCTCCACTCTGGGCGGCCCACCCACTGTCCAGGCCTTGGCCTGGTGGGTCCCAGACAGGAAGGGGGGAGAAGGGCCTGGATGCTGAGCCAGCTGCAGGGGCAGGTGCACAGGAGACGAGAGACATGTGCTTGGAGGCCTGCGAGGTGCCTCGCCCCCTGGGCAGCCATGTCAGACCCCCCGGTGACAGGTGTGGGACAGCCTTGGCCTCAGGCCCGCACAGCCTGGGTGTGAGCCACCTCCCCTCCAGCTGGGGTCCTGAGCAAGTCAGCCCTCGGCCCCGGGCTGGTCCCGCATCTGCACGGCAGTCGTACTTACGGGAGGGCTTCCCGGGGAGGGTTGGGGACAGGTGACTGTCAGGGTGAGCGCCCCCCCGGCCAGCACCCACCTGGCCCCCGGAGGAGAGACAAGACCCCCGAGGAGGGCCAGGCCCCGTCCCCTGTGGTTGGAGCAGGACTGAGGTCACGTGACTGCTGCCCAGAGCGCCTGCCCTGGGGCCTCGTGGGGGCTGGGCACCGGCCGCGAGGTGCTGAGCTGCCCTGCCTCCCCAGGTGCCCCTGGGCCCCGAGTGCTCGCGGGCCGTCATGAAGCTGCTGTACTGCGCCCACTGCCTGGGGGTCCCCGGCGCCCCGCCCTGCCCCGACTACTGCCGCAACGTGCTCAAGGGCTGCCTGGCCAACCAGGCCGACCTGGACGCCGAGTGGAGGAACCTGCTGGGTGAGCCGCCGCCAGCGCCCGGGCCCGGGGGGGGGGGGGGGCGTCCCAGGGCTGAGGGCCGGGCTCTGGAGGTTCCGGGTGGAGCGGGGCACCCCAGCCTGGGAGGGAGCCTTGTGGGGCCCCAGCTCCTGCTCCTCCCCTTGGGGTTGGTGCCCCAACACACACGTGTGCTGACACGTGATGCCTGGCAGGCTGTCTGCGGAGCTAACATGAGTGCATGCCTGCACATGGCCTGGCACACATGCCGACAGGTGTGTGTCACGTGAGGGACCGACAGGCACACGTGTGGGGCGTGTGGTGGGACGTGTAATGTCTGACACACACATGCACTAACATGTACCGGACCGACCCGTGGTGGGCCAGCGGGTGTGTGCGTGTTGACACGTGTGAGCTTGCGTGAGGGCCGGCGTGCAGACATGCACACTGCCCTGTGCTCGCCCCTGTCAGACTCCATGGTGCTCATCACCGACAAGTTCTGGGGCCCCGAGGGCGCGGAGAACGTCATCGGCAGCGTGCACCTGTGGCTGGCAGAGGCGGTCAGCACCCTCCAGGACAACAGGGATGCGTTCATGGCCAAGGTGCGGCAGGGGGCAGTGGGCATGGGAGGGTGTCCCAGACGTGGCCTCGTGCCCCTCCAGGACCCGTGGTCTCCCCCCAGGTCATCCAGGGCTGCGGGAACCCCAGGGTGAACCCGCACAGCCCCGGGTCTGAGGAGAGGCGGCCGCGGGGCAAGCTGGCTCTGCAGGAGAAGCCGCCCACGGGCGAACTGGAGAAGCTGGTGAGTGGCCCCTCAGCGGGCCAGGCCCTGGGGAGGGAGACGGGGAGGGCAGGCCGGGCCCGGGTGCCCGGGGCCTGACTGTCGCCTCGCAGGTGTCCGAGGCCAAAGCCCAGCTCCGCGACGCCCAGGACTTCTGGGTCAGCCTCCCGGGGACCCTGTGCAGCGAGAAGATGGCCATGAGCGCTGCCAGCGATGACCGCTGCTGGAACGGGATGGCCAAGGGCCGGTAGGTGCCACTGGCTGCCCGCAGCTCGTCCCTCCCGCGAGGTCTCGGCAGGCAGTCGTCTGGCCTGAGGTGCCCGGCGCTGCGCTGCACAGGGCCGTGCCTGACACAGCACAGACAGCTGGGATGAAGGCTGGAGACCTGCCCAAGCCAGCTTCTCGCCGCACCCGCTGCTGCGGGGCCCGTGTGGGCTCCTGTTGGCGCCCAGAGGCCACTGGGGTCTCCGACGTGTCCCCCAGCCCAGGCGGAAGGAAGGGAGCACTTGGGTGGCACGCTTGGCACAGGCCGGGCAGTCATCCAGGGCTGCCCTCCCGGCCCAGGTATCTCCCCGAGGTGATGGGCGACGGCCTGGCCAACCAGATCAACAACCCCGAGGTGGAGGTGGACATCACCAAGCCCGACATGGCCATCCGCCAGCAGATCATGCAGCTGAAGATCACCACCAACCGGCTGCGCAGCGCCTACAACGGGGAGGACGCGGACTTCCAGGACGCCAGTGAGGCCCGCCGCGGGGCTGGGAGCGGGCATGGCGTGGGGCACCCGGGGCCCCACCCCACGGGGAGGGGAGCCGGGCAGAGGCCTCCCAGCCCCCCGCGTGTCCCCAGGCACAGTCGAGACTGAGCCAGGATGCCCATCCAGCCTTGGCAAACACAGGCAGTGCCAGCTGCCCCCCGTCGGGGTGCCGCCTGGCACGGGAGGCCCACACGCAGGGTGCAGCACCAGGGTCCCCAGGGTTGGGGGAGCCTGTCTGAGCCTCGTCTCCTCCCCAGGTGACGACGGCAGCGGCTCAGGCAGCGGGGACGGCTGCCCAGAAGACGTCTGCGGCCACAGGGTCAACAAGAAGAACCCCAGCTCGCGGACGTCCCTGACCCACGCTCTCCCGGGCCTGTCGGAGCGGGAGGGCCCGAAGACTGCGGCTGCGGGCTGCCCCCAGCCCTGCCCCGCCCTCCTGGTCGTCCTGCTCACCCTGGTGCTCTCCGCGGCCAGGCCCCGGTGGCGGTAACTGCTCCCGGACCCGGGACCGAGGCCAAGGACTGACTTTGCCAAAACACAAGCAGACGCTATTTAACTCCCTCGCCCAGAGGCCGGGGCAGGACGGGGGACCCCGGGGACTGATGCTCTGTGAGGCGCTGGGCGGGGCAAGTGCCGCTGGCCCCCCAGGCCTGGCTTCGCTGTCGCCCTGGCTCTTAATTTTGTGTGAGGTCCTCAGGTCAGCTGGGAAACAATGTCCCCAAAAGCCATGTATTTCAGGGACGTTCCGTGGGCCTGGGATCTGAGCGCGCCCCTGCTCACGCAGGCCTGGGGGCCCTCCCTCCTGGGCACCACCTCCTGCCTGCCCGCGGCCCCTCCCCCGCTCCTGCACCGTCACCAGCCAGTGCCAGGGCCTTGGGGAGGTGCCCCGAGCCTGTGCCTTCCTTTCGCCTCCTGCCATGGAAACGAGGGGCTCTGGGTGCCAGAAAACGGGGCCCACCTCCCAGTGCCCCAAGAATCCCCAAGAGGGTGCGAGGGTTTCTCCGTCTGAGACCTCAAGGGGCCTTTGAGATTGTGCATGAACGCTTCATAGGCAGCCAGGCCCCCCTCAGCCCCCCTCAGCCCCCCCACAGCCCCCGAGTCAGGTGAGAACCTGTCTGGTGAGGCGGGTCCTGCAGGCGTTGCCGCCAGCCCCTGGGGACCTCGTCCTGGCCAGAGACCAGCCGTGGGGTCTCAGATGCACCCCGCACCAGGGCTCTGCTCTCGGCCGTCTGTGGGGTGAGCTCGCTGCTCCCAGCACCCCGGGAGAGCAGGCCAGGCTCTGCACAGGTGGGCGCCCCTCACACACAGCCAGGACTTCGGCTGTGGGGAGGAGCCACCTGGCCACTGCTTTCGCCCGTCCCCACCCAGGGCCCGGTGAGGTGCCCGCTCAGGGCGACACCGGCCAGGGCTGGAGGTGACCCGTGGCCATCGCCTGGCCACGGGGGCCGAGTGGCAGGTGAAACTTCACTCAGGGCCGGCGAGGTCTGGCGCTGCAGGTTGGAGGGGCGCCGGGGCGCCTCGAGGTGAAGGGCTGTTCCAGATGTGCAGACAGGGGTGACCGCCTCCCCTCCTTCCTGGGCCCCGGGGGGGCGGTCCCAGAGTGCCCTTGGGGTGCTGACCCGCATGGGCAGGGGCGCCGTCCTTGCCAGCAGCGCCGGGCAGGCTGCTTTGCTTTCCCTCGAGGGGCTGAGGCCGCCGGCTGCTGGGTGGGGCCCCGGCCCTGTCCTCAGGGTGTGGGGTCCGGCAGCCCAGTCCCACAGGCATGTCCACCCCATGCTAACCCTAGTGTCGTGGGTGGGCAGAGGGACTCTGGCGGCGGCGGTGGCCCCAGGACGGTGCGCTTGGGCTGAAGAGATGGTCCCGGAGGGGCCTGTGCCCGTCCCCGCCCTACCTGGGACTCTGGAAGGGGCTGGCCAGGCCGTGACCCGGCCTGCTGTGTCCTGCCTCAGGCGTCAGCAGGTGACCCGTGTTCTTGTGTCCTCGTATGAATAAAAGACTGGAGACCTCGTGAGGCTGCTGTGCCCCCCCCCCCTTGCAGGGCCCAGCAGCGTGGCCCTTGGGCTCTGCGCAGCAGGGGTCTCAGGCCCCTGGGGAGGTGACTGGGATCGCACCCCGCACGGGCCTGGATGCTGCAGGGTACAGGGTGTGTGGGCCTCGTCCTTGCCCGGGAGGACTCATCCTTTGCCCTGAAGAGGGAAGAGGCCGGGCCCCCTGCGTCCACCCCTGCCCTGGTCTGCACTCGCGCTCACACGTGCCCGGGAAGGTTCCGGTTCCTGCCAAGTAGCCTCGGAGATGCCCTGGAGGCCGGAGCTGGGGGACTCTCCTGTTCTGAGGCCAGTCCTGGGGCGTGTGACCCCTGATGGTCCAGTCTGGCCTGGGAGCCCCCCTGTGCCTGGCGTCTCTCATCAGGGTGGGATCCCTGCCCAGCCACCCTGCCTCCCCAGAGCCCTGCATGGCCCTTGGGGGACGCGGCCAGCCCGGTCCCAGTGCCACTGTGCAAGGCCCAGCTCTTCGGACGGGCTGGAAGCCAACAGACATGTGAGCCGCTGCAGGGTCCCTTTATTCGTCACTGCCGCCCACCCGCTCTCCCCGGGGCCTGGAGGGCTGAGGGCTCGGTGCCGGAACCCCGGGGCCCTGTGTGTGGGGGCTGCCCCCTCAGGGCACACCGCCGTCCCTGGGAGGAGGAGCAGGCTCCTGGGAGGGCTCCCTCCGGCGCTGCACCTTGCCCCCTCGCCTCCACAGCCAGGGTGCCTGGTGCCCATGGGGCTCCTCCCTCCTGGGGCGCACTCAGCCTTGGCGCGGCGGCGGCACCGCTCACTCCTGGTTGTAGCTGGAGTATACCTGCCTGGCTGGTGCTGGTGCTGCTCCCGTGGGGCCCTTGTCCCGGGCCTTCTGTGACTTCTTTGTCATCCCAGGCTTGTGCACGTTCCCTGGGGGGAGGGGGTGCAGGTGAGCAGGCCTTCAGCATGGGACCGCCCCCTGCGCCAGCCGTCGGGGGTCTCGGTCCTGCCCGCCGTGGGCCAGGCCCCGGACCACCGAGCTCCCGAGCCTGCCCCCTCGGTCTCCGTCGTCGTCCCGGGAAACAAACGCCACGTCCTGTGCAGGGGGCGCCCACACTTCCACGACTCCCTGGAAAAAAGTCATTGCTGAGCGCGTGCGAGGCAGACCCTGGAGTCTGAACGTGTAACCTCCGTGTCCCGCCAGAGGAGGGCGGAGGCCAAGGCATGTGCAGGACGCCTGTCGCCGAGGCGCCACCCCCGGCACGTGCGGGATGCGGGCAGCGTGGGGAAGGCCCTCAAGGCCGCTCAACTGTTCCCATTGAAAGTGGGGTGAGCAGCAGCACGCGTGTGCACGGGGTGCTGGCCGTGTGCACGTGTGTGCACGGATTACACCCCGAGAGAACGGCGCGGACAGGCCCTGGCCAGCGTGGCTTTGCGGTTAGAGCACCGGCCTGCAGATGGGTCTCGAGTTCAATTCCCGGTCAAGGGCACGGACCTGGGCTGCAGGTTCATCTTGGCCCCGTCGGGCCCTGTGGGAGGCAACCAATCCGTGTGCCTCTCTCATGTCGATGTTTCTCTCCCTCCCACTCTATCTGGAAATTAGTGGAAAAAATACCCTCGGGTGAGGATTAGCACGAGAAAAGATGGGGCTCAGGAGGCCACCGTGGTGGAAGGGGGGTGGGTCCCACGGTCTTCATCTTGTGTTTCCTGATAACGAGCAACAGGAAGAGAAACTGCACCTGGGCGGGGCTACGCTGCAGAAAAACTGGAAAGTCAAGGAAGATACTCATGGTGTAGTTCAGAGCATACAGACCCTGCTTCCGCTTTCCAGGGCACACGTGTGTGTGCACCCGTGTACCTGTGTGCACATGTGTGCGTCCGTACAGGACACAGCCATGTGAGCTGTGGCCATTTTCGGGTGTTGGGACAGATGCCACTCATCCTTTCTTCCTTCTGCACGGCATGGAGCCCGGGACGGAGGGCAGAGGTGTGGGCTCCGGGGAAGCCCCCCAACGTCCCCAGGGCACAGCAGCACCTTCCGTGGTAGCCTCTGCTCACAAGCACAACGTGAGCTCACAAGGACTCATCAGGAGTGTCTTCCTTGCTGGCCGACGTGGTGGGAGCCACCACACCTTTCCGGGGGTCCCCCCAGGATGGCCCTGCAGCCGAGCCACCCGCCAAGGCCACGTTGCGGGTGCAGCACAGATCCTTGCCCCTCCCCCAGGAGGCTTCCTCACCCCCCACAGGAGCGTTGCCCGGGGCCCCCAGCAGACTCCCAGATAGGGCGCCCCATCTTTGACAAGAGACCACGGAAACCAGGCTAAACCACGGCTGCAGGCAGAACTGCTGAGGCCCCCACACAGGCCCCTCTGCCCCCCCCCATCCCCCTGCCCCCACCACTCCACTCTCATGCCTCCTGCTCTCCAGCCGTCCAGCCGTCTGTGCTGAGGACAGGCCGCCTCACACCCACTGCCCCCTCCTCCCGCCCTGCTCCTCCCCTCCAGCAAGGCCACACCCCTGGCCCACCCTCCTCGTGCCATGATGCTGGCCCATGGTCACCCCGTGCCCCCTCCATCTCAGTCGTGCTGAAGTCACCCCCATCCCAAACACCCCTGGCACACGCAGGCAGCGGCCTGGAGCCCTGGGGACAACGTGAGACACCCGCCCCGTCCCCTCTGAGCCCGGGATGGACACGGAGGTGTGGGCTCCTGTGAAGACCCCAGACGGCCCCAGAGCCCAGGAGCACCTTCCAGCAGTAGCCCTGCCTTCAGCCCCGACCCTCATCGGCCCCAAGATGGCCAGGGCCACGTGGGGGCGAGAAGCTGGACGCCCCTCAGAAGCTCTGGGCTGACCCGTGTACAGCTGAGCAGCACAGACGGTTACACACACGCCCAGTGGGGCCACTTTATTGTGAGGGCAGGAGGGAGACAGGCCCAGCCCCTCGGTGCAGCCACGGAGCAGGTGCCGGCCGGCGAGACTGCCCGGCCTCGGTGTGCAGCGGGCTCCTCTACTGAGATCCTTCCACCCGCGAGCCCTCTTCCTCCAGGGAGGCCCCTGGACAGAGAACTGCAGAGAGGACGACCGTGAGAGACCGGGCACCCCGAGGAGGCACAGGCGCAGACCCTGAGCCAGCAAGGCCCTCCTGGCCACACCTCCCGGGACAGAGTGCAGTGCCCTGTGTGCTGGCTCCCCATGTGTTGACTCCCCGTGTGTTCACGCCCCGTGTGCTGACTCCCTGTGTGCTGGCTCCCCGTGTGCTGGCTCCCCGTGTGCTGGCTCCCCGTGTGTTGGCTCCCCGTGTGTTCACGCCCCGTGTGCTGGATCCCCGTGTGCTGGCTCCCCGTGTGCTGGCTCCCCGTGTGCTGGCTCCCCGTGTGCTGGCTCCCTGTGTGTTCACGCCCCGTGTGCTGGCTCCCCGTGTGCTGGCTCCCTGTGTGTTCACGCCCCGTGTGCTGGATCCCCGTGTGCTGGCTCCCTGTGTGTTCACGCCCCGTGTGCTGGCTCCCCGTGTGCTGGCTCCCCGTGTGCTGGCTCCCCGTGTGCTGGCTCCCCGTGTGCTGGCTCCCCGTGTGTTCACGCCCCGTGTGCTGGCTCCCCGTGTGCTGGCTCCCCGTGTGCTCGCGCCCCGTGTGCTGGATCCCCGTGTGCTGGCGCCCCGTGTGCTCTCGCCCCGTGTGCTGGCTCCCCGTGTGCTGGCGCCCCGTGTGCTGCTCCCCGTGTGCTGGCTCCCCGTGTGCTGGCTCCCCGTGTGCTGCTCCCCGTGTGCTGGCTCCCGTGTGCTGGCTCCCCGTGTGCTGGCGCCCCGTGTGCTCGCGCCCCGTGTGCTCGCGCCCCGTGTGCTGGCTCCCCGTGTGCTGACTCCCCGTGTGCTGGCTCCCCGTGTGCTGGCTCCCGTGTGCTAATCCCCGTGTGCTGGCTTCCCCTGTGGCTGACTCCCCGTGTGCTCGCGCCCCGTGTGCTGGCTCCCCGTGTGCTGGCGCCCCGTGTGCTCGCGCCCCGTGTGCTGGCTCCCCGTGTGCTGGCGCCCCGTGTGCTCGCGCCCCGTGTGCTGGCTCCCCGTGTGCTGGCTCCCCGTGTGCTGACTCCCCGTGTGCTCGCGCCCCGTGTGCTGGCTCCCCGTGTGCTGGCGCCCCGTGTGCTCGGCGCCCCGTGTGCTGGCTCCGTGTGCTAGGCTCCCCGTGTGCTCGCGCCCCGTGTGCTGGCTCCCCGTGTGCTGGCTCCCCGTGTGCTCGCGCCCCGTGTGCTGGATCCCCGTGTGCTGGCTCCCCGTGTGCTCGCGCCCCGTGTGCTGGATCCCCGTGTACTGGCTCCCCGTGTGCTGGGCGCCCCGTTGGCTCGCGGCCCCGTGTGCTGGCTCCCCGTGTGCTGGCTCCCCTGTGCTGCTCCCCGTGTCTGCTCCCCGTTGCTGCTCCGTAGTGCTGGCTCCCCGTGTGCTGCTCCCCGTGTGCTGGCTCCCCGTGTGCTGACTCCCCGTGTGCTGGCTCCCCGTGTGCTGGCTCCCGTGGTGCTGACTCCCCGGTGGCTTGGCTCCCCGGTGCTGACTCCCCGTGTGCTCGCGCCCCGGTGCTGATCCCCGTGTGCTGGCTCCCCGTGTGCTGGCTCCCCGTGTGCTGCTCCCCGTGTGCTGGCTCCCGTGTGCTGACTCCCCGTGTGCTGGATCCCCGTGTGCTGGCTCCCTGTGTGTTCACGCCCCGTGTGCTGGCTCCCCGTGTGCTGGCTCCCTGTGTGTTCACGCCCCGTGTGCTGGCTCCCCGTGTGCTGGCTCCCCGTGTGCTGGCTCCCCGTGTGCTGCTCCCCGTGTGCTGGCTCCCGTGTGCTGGCTCCCCGTGTGCTGGCGCCCCGTGTGCTCGCGCCCCGTGTGCTGGCTCCCCGTGTGCTGACTCCCCGTGTGCTGGCTCCCCGTGTGCTGGCTCCCGTGTGCTGACTCCCCGTGTGCTGGCTCCCGTGTGCTGACTCCCCGTGTGCTCGCGCCCCGTGTGCTGGCTCCCCGTGTGCTGGCGCCCCGTGTGCTCGCGCCCCGTGTGCTGGCTCCCCGTGTGCTGGCTCCCCGTGTGCTCGCGCCCCGTGTGCTGGCTCCCCGTGTGCTGGCTCCCCGTGTGCTCGCGCCCCGTGTGCTGGATCCCCGTGTGCTGGCTCCCCGTGTGCTCGCGCCCCGTGTGCTGGCTCCCCGTGTGCTGGCTCCCCGTGTGCTCGCGCCCCGTGTGCTGGATCCCCGTGTACTGGCTCCCCGTGTGCTGGCGCCCCGTGTGCTCGCGCCCCGTGTGCTGGCTCCCCGTGTGCTGGCTCCCCGTGTGCTGCTCCCCGTGTGCTGGCTCCCGTGTGCTGGCTCCCCGTGTGCTGGCGCCCCGTGTGCTCGCGCCCCGTGTGCTGGCTCCCCGTGTGCTGACTCCCCGTGTGCTGGCTCCCCGTGTGCTGGCTCCCGTGTGCTGACTCCCCGTGTGCTGGCTCCCCGTGTGCTGACTCCCCGTGTGCTCGCGCCCCGTGTGCTGGATCCCCGTGTGCTGGCTCCCCGTGTGCTGGCTCCCCGTGTGCTGGCTCCCCGTGTGCTGGCTCCCGTGTGCTGACTCCCCGTGTGCTGGATCCCCGTGTGCTGGCTCCCCGTGTGCTCGCGCCCCGTGTGCTGGATCCCCGTGTGCTGGCTCCCCGTGTGCTGGCTCCCCGTGTGCTGCTCCCCGTGTGCTGGCTCCCCGTGTGCTGGCTCCCCGTGTGCTGGCTCCCCGTGTGCTGGCTCCCCGTGTGCTGGCTCCCCTTGTGCTGGCGCCCCCGTGGCTGCCAGGCCCCCCCGTTGGTGCTTCGGCGTCCGCCGTGGCTGGCTCCCGTGTGCTGACTCACCGTGTTCTGGCGCCCAGTGTGCTCGCGCCGTGTGCTGGCTCCCCGTGTGCTGACTCCCCGTGTGCTGGCTCCCCGTGTGCTGACTCCCCGTGTGCTCGCGCCCCGTGTGCTGGCTCCCGTGTGCTGGCTCCCCGTGTGCTCGCGCCCCGTGTGCTGGCTCCCCGTGTGCTGGCTCCCCGTGTGCTGGCTCCCCGTGTGCTGGCTCCCCGTGTGCTGGCTCCACCGTGCTGCCGCTCCCGTGTGCTGGCTCCCCGTGTGCTGGCTCCCCGTGTGCTCGCGCCCGTGTGCTGGATCCCCGTGTGCTGGCTCCCCGTGTTGCTCGCGCCCCTTGTGCTGGCTCCCCGTGTTGCTGGCTCCCCGTGTGCTCGCGCCCCGTGTGCTGGATCCCCGGTACTGTGGCTCCCGCGTGTGCTGGCGCCCCGTGTGCCAGCGCCCCGTGTGCTGGCTCCCCGTGTGCTGCGCCCCGTGTGCTGGCGCCCCGTTGCTGAATCCCCTTGTGCTGGCTCCCCGTGTGCTGGCTCCCGTGTTCTGCTCCCCGTGTGCTGTCGCCCCTTTGCTCGCGCCCCGTGTGCTGGCCTCCCCGTGTGCTGACTCCCCGTGTGCCTGGCTCCCCGTGTTCTGGCTCCCGTGTGCGACTCCCCGTGTGCTGGCTCCCGTGTGCTGATTCCCATCCCCCGTGTGCTCGCGCCCCGTGTGCTGGATCCCCGTGTGCTGGCTCCCCGTGTGCTGGCTCCCCGTGTGCTGCTCCCCGTGTGCTGGCTCCCCGTGTGCTGACTCCCCGTGTGCTGGCTCCCCGTGTGCTGGCTCCCGTGTGCTGACTCCCCGTGTGCTGACTCCCCGTGGCAGCCGGGTACCCAGAGCCCTGGACACAGTGCACAGGCAGCGCTCTGCTCCGTGTTCACACGTGGGAGACAGGGCTGACTGCTCTCCAAGGAGGGAGCCTCGCAGCCCCCAGCCTGGGGTCCCTGAGCTGAGGGAGCTGTGACCAGGTCTGGGATGCACCCCACGGGACGTGTTACTCAAAGCCTCATTTTACAGAGGCTGCAAGGGAGGCGGCAGCGAGTGTCAGCTCAGAAAGGACCAGCTTCTGGGGCGCAGCCCGGGCAGGGGACAGCCAGCCCCTCCATCCGCTCTGAACACAGGCTCTGAGGAAGAGCCCACCCAGCCAAGGCCCAGCCTTGCCCACCAAGGCCACCCTCAGAGCACCACCCGGCGTGGGGTCGCCTCAGGTCACCCCGAGGGAGGAAAGGGCAGGAGAGGAGGGTGTTCCCAGAGCAGACGTCTGCTGACCTTCACACTCCAGACACCTGTGGCAGCTCCAAGGACAAGTGCTCACAGTCCGGGGCCGCCTGTGTCCCCCAGGGGGCCCGTGTGCAGTGCGGCCCCCACGCAGGCCCACCCCAGGGAGCATGGGCACACGGGGCCTGGCATCCTCCGCAGGTGGAGAAAGACCAGCTACTCAGTGCCCTGTCCTCACACCGGCCACCCAGGACTCCGGGAAGTGGCTGGGACTGCACTGACTCAGGGCTGATGGGGACCCTCCCCGGCCACCCCGCGGGCCGGTGCTGTGCCCAGAGCAGAGGGCACGGCGGGCGGCGGCGCTGGCACTCACCGACGGCCATCATGGCGCCGCAGTCCTTGCTGTGGAAGTCCACCCAGGCCTTGGTCTTGCAGGTCTTGCTGCAGGTCAGGATCCCGTAGCAGCGGCTGCAGGGCAGCAGGTGCACCCCGACCGAGCGGCCGCACTGGTGGCAGAACTTGAAGAACGGGATCCTGCCGGGGCCACGAGGCTGTTGGGTGGAGCCCCTGCGCCCTGACTGGGGCTCTGGGACCCTCCCCACGTCCTCTGCACATGGACGGAGACCTGAAGTCCCGTCGAGGGCCGCCCAGCACAGGCTGATCAGAACAGAAAACAAGCACTGTGCCCAGGGCACCGCCTGAGGGCTCAGGCAGGAGACGGGTCCCTCGTGGGCCACAGCGTGGACAGAGAGGACTTCTGTGTCTTAGGAGCAACTCCGGGCAGCACACGCAGGGCTGTGGGTGAGCCTGGCACGCCCCCCACCTTCCACTTCAGCAAGAAAGAAGCCCAGCTAGGGCCACCGCCCGGCCCCCCACCCGTCGCCGCCCACCCCGTCCTCAGGGTCTACGGGACGGGTGCCGCCCAGGGTGCCCTCGGGGTTAGCCAGGCACACAGGTCTGTGGAGACTCTCCCAGAAGAGCAGGTGAGAGCTGAGCCATGACCCCAAGGGGGATGGCGTGACCGCAAGGAGAGGGGCCGTGGCGGAGGGCGGGGAGGGGAGGGCCCAGGGGGCACCAGACAGTTCGCGTCTCCCACCCAGCTGCCCCCAGACATGGAGCCGCTCCTTGAGTGTGCCCTGTGACCCCACTCCCGCCCCGTCCGGGCCGGTGCCCACGGCCAGCAGGGCCACGCCGGCCACTCACTGCTGCAGCTCCTCCAAGTGCAGCGCCCTGGGCGTGCTGGTGGCCTTCTGCTTCAGCCTGTGGCAGGGGGTGAGCTCCGCTGAACCCGGAGAGACTCGCGTTAGCCTCCGTGGGCCTCCCGGTGGTGCCGTGGCGTCCACGGGCAGAGGGAGCTCTGGGCTGCCTGCCTCGACCCCCTCCTGCAATGAGCCAGCCCTGGCACCCCAGGGAGGCAGGTGGGGACCCCAAACCCTTGACGTCCCACAATAGGTCCCAGGAGGCAGAGTGGGGCTTGGCCAGGAGGGGTCGGGCGCCCACAGCCTCCAGGGAGGGGCTTCACTGCTCCTGCATGCCCACCCTTCTGCAGCCTCCTGCCCCCCATCTTCTGCGCCGTGTCCCCCTCAACACATCATTCAAGGCCATAGCACCAGGTGTCTCTGGCCTCTCCTGGCACCCAGCCCCTCTGGAGCTGGGGCTCCTGCTCTGCCCTCTGGCCATGCAGGAGGGCACACAGTGAGCAGTGAGTGCCCACAATAGCCAGAGTTTCTACCTGGCACATCACCCCCCCAAAAGGCCGGCTGACCTCGGCTTCCTCATCACCCCTTCGGACACAGGGACCCCTCGAGGAGACACCTGCTGGCCGCCAGAGCCGGGAGGTGGGAGGGACCCTCCTCCCTCCTCACCCTTCCTGTGCCCACTGCACCCACTCCAGCTGCTGGCCGGCCCAGGAAGCCAGCTCCGACCTGCCCGTCGTCCGGGCAGGGTCACGGAGGCCACGTGGCACCAGGGACACCTCTGGGACAGGTACAATGAGGGTCTGGTGACAGCTTCACGGATCACTTAAGAGGAAACATGGCTCGGCCGGTGTGGCTCAGCGGTTAGAGCGCTAACCGCTACTGAGGGGTTGGGGGCTAATTCCGGTCAAGGGCAGGTGCCTGGGTGACAGGTTCGACCCCCAGCCCCTGTCAGGGTCACGCAGGAGGCAACCAATTGATGTGTTTTTCTCTCCCTCCCTCCCTTACACTCTCTGTATAAATTAATGGGAAAATATCCTTGAGGGAGGGTTAACAAACGTGTAGTGAAATGGGGGAGCACGAGGACGGGAGGAGGGCACCATCCAAGCCACAGGGAAGGTACACGGTTCAGTGGCCTTCGGGATGTTCGCGGGCGTGTAGCCACCCCAGCCCTGCCAGCCGTCACCCCCTTCCCCAGCCCTGGCGACCACCACCCACGGTCTGTGCGCGGCTCCCACGACGTGTGTGTCCGTCCGCCCGCCGACAGGCAGGTGGGCCGCTCCCATCCGGCTCCTACGAATCATGCTGCTAAGGACGTTCGTGCACGGGTGACGTGTCTTCAGTCCTCCTGGGCACTCAGCTCGGGTGGCACTGCGGGGTCAGCACGAGGGGCCACCAGACTGCGTCCCACCCCGGCCCCAGCAGCAGGGCGGGCTCCTCGTCCTCGCCTGCACGTGCTCCGTGTGGTCCAGCCGGCCACTGAGTGGTGCCACGTGGGGTTCCACGTACTCATTCCTGACAGCCGGGCATCCTTCCATGGGCCTGCGGGCCATTTGTGTCTTTCTGTCGAGATGTGGTGTGTAGGTGCCGACGTAACTAAGACCAACTCCATCTGTGCGCCCCGGTTTCATCCCATTTCACGCTGTGGACTCTGACCACGCGCAGTGGCATACCGTGGCCGCCCAAGTGAGCTGGGATCTGCACGCTCGCATGCGTGGCCACGGAGTCCTGTCAGGATGGGCCAGAACGGCACAGCCCCGGTTCGGGTAGCCAACTGGGTGCTGGCTCTAAGCAATGACGCACCCCAGGACCTCCAGGAGGTGGGGCTCGTGCACCTTGCCGTGTCCCTCTGTCTGTCAGTTACTAGTACCTTCTCTGTCCAGCCGCGGAGATCAGCTGTGCAGACTGTGACGTCACCTCGGCTCCGGCCCCACCCCTGGAAGTGATGTCACCCTACAGGAAGTTGTCATCGTCCACAGAGCCGCTGGCCTCATTCTTCAGTCTCGAGTTACCGTCTCGGTCCAGGGGTCACAGTACCTTCACTCCACCGTGATTCACATTGTCCAGTTTTTTTTCTTTATTGATTTTAGAGAGAGAGGAAGGGAGCGGGAGAGAGAGACAGAAACATGGACGAGAGAGAACATGGATTGGCCGCCTCCTCTGGGGATCGGGCCCACGACCTGGGCATGTGTCCTGATGGGAATCAAACCAGCGACCTCCTGGTGCAGGGTCGACGCTCCATCCCTGAGCCACACCCGCCGGGCTTCTTCGTCCTATTTTAATCCAATTACTTGTCTTTGCTACTGAGTTGCGACTGCACACAGGTCCCTCGGGAGACGTGTGGCTGACATGTCTGCTCCCACAGGCTGTCTTTTCATTTCTCCCGCTCCTGTCACATCTGGGAGACCACTGCCAATCCCAGGACGCGAGGGTTACCCCGTGTTTTCTTCCAAGGGTTCGCTCGTTCAAGCTCTGAGCATTGAGGTCTTCGATCCAAATGGAACTGAGTTTCACATGTGATGTGAGGGTCAAACGTCAGTCTTCTGAGTCTAGACAACCAGTTGTCCCCGCACCGTCTGTTGAGAAGACGGCCGTCCTGACCCCTACACCGAAGCCATGGCGCCCTTCCTGGGACGCGGCCGGCGTAAACACACGGGTGTCCTTCTGGGATCTGTGTTCTCGTCCGTCAGTCTGCGTGTCTGCCTCTACGCCAGCACCGCACGGCCCTGATGGCTGTTGTGCTGCAGTAGATCAAGCTTGGGAAGTGCGAGTCCTTCGACTTTGTTCTCCCTCAGGGGGGCTTTGGCCGTCCTGGGCGCCTGTTTCCATGTGAATTTCAGAATCTGCTTCTTGATTTGTACCAAGAAGTCAGCTGGGATCCTGACAAGAAGATGTCTTTCCATTGATTGAGGTTCCTTTAGTTTCTTCAACAACCTTCTGTAGTTTTCAGAGTGTTGGTTTTACGCAGCCTCTGTTACAGGGATGTGTCTGTCCCTCTTACATGTGTTATTACAAATGGAGTTTTTTAAATTTCATTTTTGGTTTGTTCATTGTGATTGTATAGAAATGCTGATGATTTTTTGTGTATTGATCTTATATCCTACAGCCTTACGAATGCATTTATAGTTTTTAAAAATATGTTTTTATTGATTTTAGAGAGAGAGGAACATTGAAAAGAGAGAACATCGAGTGGCCGCCTCCTGCATGTCCCCGCTGGGGATGGAGCCCGCAACCCAGGCATGTGCCCTGACTGGGAATCGAACCGGTGACTTCTTGGTGCAGGGGACCAAGCCACACCGGCCAGGCGCATTTATAGTTTTAATAGTGGGGTAGTTTTATATTTATTTTAATATTTATACATTTAGCTTAATAATTTAATATTAATTTTATTTTAAAAGTGGATTCCTAGGATTTTCAATCTACAAGCTGATATTTGCCAACAGAGACACTTCAACTTTCCCTTTCCAACTAGAATGCATTTTATTTTATTTTTCCTGCCTAATTACACTGGCTAACAACTCCAGTGTGGTATTAAGTAGAAACAGTGAGAGAAGACATTCTTGTCTTCCTGATCTCAGGGAGAAAACATCCGTCTGTCACCATGAAGTCCAATGTGGGCTGGGGGGTTTCCACAGGTGCCCTTTATCGGGTTAAGAAGGTGCCCCTGCTCCTGGTCGGTGGTCCTGTGCAGCTCTGGTCCAGTCTAGTCCCTGGCCCCCTTGGTGACACAGGTGCAAAGACCACCGTCCTGAGCATGTGACTTGGTCCTTTCTAGGGAGGCTCCGTCACGCGGATGAAGGACCAATGGCTGACCAGTGCCACCGACAGGCTGGTCCGTAGGCTCATCGTGAGCCTCCCCCGAAAACGCCGTCTTAGCTCAGCTCCCTCACGTCCAGGGACGTGCCTTCCCTCCCTGGGGCAGACGCCTGGCGTGGGGCCCCTGTGGTTCCCCTGAGCTCGGTTCCCTTTAGCTGGGTGAAATGTTGCGACAAGCAAGCAGCGAACTCTCCCCATGCACAGGGGTGTGTTCTGGCTCCTCCTCTGCATCCACAGGCCTCCTCCCTGCATCCAAGGGCCCTGCAGCCTTTCCCGCCAGTCTCTGCCCGAAACTGCTCCCTCGGACAGGCTCTGCCACCTGCTGATCGTGGACGACCCAGGGCCTCACCTCCCAGGCCAGCCTGCACCAGGCACAGGCAGGGGTCCTGGCTCAGCTCCCGGGGACGTGGCGCACCAAGCAGGTCCCTCTCCCTCCTCCCCCCGTGCCAGCCAGTCCACGTGGGAACCACGGGCATGAGAGGGAAAAGCCCAGACCTGGGGCTGGGCAGCCCGGAAGCCAGGCCTTTGTGGGGAAAGGACCCCCTGCTGCCCACAGGAGGGCCCCCCGCCCCCCAAGCAGCGCCTCCTGGGTGCCATGCCCCCACCCCATGACAGCCGGGCAGGCCCTTCTGGATGTGCACCCATGGTGCTGCCTGCGGCTTCTCCTGGGGCCCCTCCTCCGTCTCTCCTCTTGGAGGGCAGGACACAAGGACCAGGCAGACCTGACCCAGCAGGCGACCTGGGCAGCAGCAGGACAGGTCCCTCCCCCGAGCCTCCCGGGCCCAGCCCCTCCCTCCCGCCGTCGGCAGGAAGCTCGGCCACCCACCTCTCTTGCTCAGGTACAGCGTCCTCGGGTCCCACTGGCTCTCCTTGGCCAGGACAGCGCAGCGCAGCTGGGAGCCCATGTATTCCAGGAGCCGCTTCCGGGCCAGAAACGTCTCCCGCTCCGCTGGCATCAGCGTGTGGAAGGGGCAGTGGGCGAGCTTCCGGTCCTGTGGCGCAGCGCCGTCAGCGCGGGCACCGCCCGCCGGGGGCAGACCCCACTCCCAGCCCTGGCCTGGCACCGCCTCCACTCTCAACGCTCCCCTGAGGACAAACTGAGAGCACGCCGAGCGAGGCCCCGGCAGCCATGCCCCGCGCACGCGGGTGCCAGCCTTCTCTCCCGAGGCCAGGGCCTCGCTGTGGCCAGCGGCATGCAGGGCCCAGCTTTGCCCGAGGGACGCTCAAGGCCCCAGCTGCACCCCCATCACCAACAGGAGGCTCAAAGCCATACCTGGTAGAATTTGAAATACGCGTAGTCAACAGCCGTGCCCACAGCCACCTTGTCCCCCTGCGTGAGCGTCACAGGGGCCAGGATGTCGGCCCCGTAGTTAATGAGCCGGTCAATCTGTGGAGAACGAAGCCACATCAAATGTGGGGGGGCACCCCAGCCACCAGGAGTCAGGGCCTGGAACTGGGGTGTCCAAGCACCCAGCAGCAACCCACGCTGTGATCCTGGCCACCCAAAGGTTCCAGTCCGTCTCCCCACCCTGACTGGACGGCAGGAGGGCAGCCCGAGGTCCTGGCCGCCAGCAGGAGACCAGGTGCTGACCAGATAGACTGTCCCCTGCATGATCCCGGGAGGCCACTCTCTCATGTGCAGAGAGACTGACAGACGAGCAACCTCGTGGACAAGAAGCTAGGGTGAGTCATCACGTCGCCTGTCATGGGCTTCACGGCCAGGCCACTCCTGGGGAGCTCTCCCCTGTCATCCCCCCAACTGCTGGTGTCTGCCCAGGCCTGGTTGCTGCCCCACTTCCTAGACTGGAGTGATGCAAAGGGCCAACGCCCGGCCTGTCTTGTTCACATCCTATCCCCCGTCTGGGGGCTCAGTGAGTCTGGACCCGTGTGTGCATTTGGGTGCACATGTGTGTGCAGCTGTGTGCACACGTGTGTACATAGGTGTGTCTGTCGGTGTGTGTGTGTGCATAGGTGTGTCCGTGTGCGCGCACACGTATACATAGGCATGCCCCTGTGTGTGTGCTGGTATGTGTGCACATGTGTGTACATAGGTGTGTCCGTGTGTGTGCAGGGATGTGTGTACATGGGTGTGTCTGTGTGTGCTGATGTGTGCACACATGTGTACACAGTCGTGTCAATGTGTGTGCATATGAGACTTCTTGCACATAGCACAGCAAGGTCTTTGGCTGAAGACTTACTACCAATTCCATTCCCAGCAGATGTCCTATAACAGGGCTCCACCCCCCTGCCCTGAGGAGGGAGGTGGCGTATTCACTAAGAGGCTTTATCTTTTTAGCCAGGAAATGTAACACAAGCCCAGGGCTCAGGGCGGCCCAGCATGAACGCATGGAAGCCAGGCTACCCAGCAGGAGGCTCCCCGGACCGGGGACGGCCCACTTGCGTTGCGGGTGGGGCCGGTGTCCGGGTGCACGGTGGCTCCCCTAGCCAGGGTCCTCGCTCGCTCAGCCTGTGTAGCAATCACTCCTCACACACCCGGAAATGCAACACCGCCGGTGGAGGTTCAAGGGCACCTGACCAGGCCCAGCTCATGGTGTGGGGGGCGAGTGGAGTTCATGCCCATTCCTCGTGGCGATGGGGACGCTCGCCAGGCCCAGAGTGAGCAGGGTCGGGTGGCTCTCCAACGCCTGGGAAGGAGCTGCCCTGGCCCAGCCGGGCCCCTCTCTCGCCCCCTCCCCTCTCCTCCTTCTCGGGAAGCCGGACAACATGCACCACTAAGCCTGGTGACCGGAATCAGAGCGCATGAAGGGACAATGGGGAAGCACCCGATTCCACTCGGAAGTGCTTAAATTCTGGCTAAATCTATAAACCTCTTAGAAAACGTGGGACGACAGCTTCGTGACAAAGGACCTGGCAGTGACTTCCTGGATATGACACCAAAGGCCACGAGACAAGACAGACAAGCTGGCCTGTGTGGAAATGGGAACCCGTCACCCCGGAGGACTCTGCCAGGGCCCAGGACGGCGACGCGCAGGCGGGGCCGTGTCAGCCTCGTGTCGGTGAGGGGTCGATGTCCAGACTACAGAGATCTCTCCAAACAGCGACAGGAAAACAATTCCCAAATCGGGCAAAGGACTGAAATCGACATTTAAAAAAAAATACTTTTTTCTTTATTGATTTGAGAGAGAGAGGAAGGGAGAGAGAGAGAGAAACATCGATGAGAGAGAACATCTACTGGCCGCCTCCTGCACGCCCCCCACTGGGGATCAGGCCCACAGCCTGGGCATGTGTCCTGACCGGGAATCGAACTGGCGACCTCTTGGTGCAGGGTCAACGCTCAACCCCTGAGCCACACTGGCCGGGCTGGAATCGACATTTCTTCCAAGAACGGTCAACAAGCCCACCAAAAGATGCTCAATGTCACGAATAAAGTGAAAATAAAACTGAGGAGAGAGCACCTCACCCCCTGCAGGATGGCTGCTACCCAGTAAACAAAGGAAAAAGCAAGTGTTGGTGAGGATGTGGGGACCGGGGACCGGGCACTGGCGGGAAGCAGATGCTGCAGTATGGCGCTTCCTCGGAGAACGTACACAGCACGGCCACGTGCCCCAGTGACCCCACTTCTGGGCAGGCTCCCAGAGTCTGGGAGAGATCTGTTCACCTGTGTTCACAGCGACATCATCACAACAGCCAAGGTGGAAGCAACCCAGCCGTCCGTCACGGACTGACAAGCTCACAATGTGGTGCAGACACACAGGGAATATGATTCAGCCTCAAAGTGAAAGCGTGTCCACCACAGGCCGCCACAGGGAGGGACCTCGAGGACACGGGGCTCCGTGAGGTGAGCCAGGCACACGAGGACAGACTCCACAGACAGGGGGCACCCAGGGGACTCAGACTCTAGAGACAGAGCAGACGGCGGGAGCCGGGGCTGGGCAGGGACTGGGGAGGGGTGTCTAAGGGGGACGGAGGGTCCGCTTGCAGAGTTCTGGGGATGACAGTGATGATGGTGCCGGCTGAACCACAACATAAACATGCTTAACGCCTGAACTTAAAAACCATGAAGATGGCAAATGTTATGTCTTTTACCACAGTGTGTTTTTAAATGTGCACAGTGCAACCTAATTTTGGCAAAAACCAAAATAAAACAAACAAAACACCCTTGCAGCCCTGGCTGGCTTGGCTCAGCGGTTAGCGTGTCAGCCCTCAGACTGAAAGGCCTTGGGTTCGATCCCCGGCCCTGGTCAGGGTCGTGCAGACGCAACGGATGGATGTCTCTCTCTCACGTGGATGCTCCTCTCCCTTCCTCCCTCCCTCCCTCCCATCCACTCTACCTAAAAATCAATGGAAAAATACCCTCGGGTGAGGATTAAAAATAATAATAATAAACACAATCAATCGAAAAGAAAATGTAAAGACCCTTCCACACAGATCCCGATAGCACGGCAGGGAGAGCCGGAGCGGGCAGAGGCCCGCGGAGCCAGGCGAGGCCCCCGCGAGGCCGAGAAGACAGGTCACGCACGTTGAACAGGAGAGAACCGCCGACAACATACTTCTCTACCTAAGGTCCGGGGGGGCTGGGAACCCTTAACCACAGGAACTGCGGCTGGTGGCGCCTGGCTACAAGGCTGCTGAACAGACTCCTGAACCTGACGGTGACCCTGGGGGTGTAAGAAAAAGGACCATGTGCGGCCCGGCCCGTGTGGCTCAGAGGCTGTGTCGTCCCTGCACCAGGAGGTCGCGGGTTCGAGTCCTGGTCAGGGCACATGCCCAGGCTGTGGGCCTGATCCCCAGTGGGGGGCTCTTAGGGGGCGTGTAGGAGGCAGCCGATCGATGTTTCTCTCTCCCTTTCCCTTCCTCTCTCTAAAACAATCGATAAAAATACATATTTTAATGAATACATATGCCTACTAGAGAGATAATAAAACTGATTTAATTCCGCAGTGTTCCTACTTTTATCACTGGTTTATGATATGCGGGTTAATAAAAACGTTGTCATCATCACGAGTGCGGGAAGTAGCCACGCGCACCGGGTGGACTATTGTGTGATTTTTTTTTTTTTTTATCCTCACCCAAGGACATTTTTCCATTTTTTTGTTCAGATAGAGTGGGAGGGAGAGAGAGAGGAAGAGAGAGAGAGAGAAACATCGATGTGAAAGGGACACATCGAGTGGCTGCCACCCGCACGACCAACCAGGGCCGGGGACAAACTGCAACCGAGGTACATGCCCTTAGCGGGAACCGAACCCAGGTCTCTCTGGACCGCAGGCCGATGCTCTAACCGCTGAGCCAAACCGGCCAGGGCTATTGTGTGATTTTTAATTGGACACGTCCTGGAGGAGGATGAACAGGCGCGTGACTAGTACTTCAGCCCCCAAGCATCCACTCTGGTGTCTGCCGGTGAGTGAGCATCACGCTCACCCCGAGCTGCTCGGTGGCTGGAGGGCGGGGCCAGCACCCCCGGCAGCACCCTGCCGGCCCCCCGCCCCCCGCCCAGCAGGTCCTTGGACTCGGATCCCCAGCCCATGCCCACTCCACACAGAAAGGTCGACCAGACCAAGAACCAGGGCCCACATCATGCCTGAGGAAAACCAGGGCCTTTTGTCTGGCCTGTTGAGCGGCTCAGCCCGTGAACATATTTTTAGATGTTTATCCAAAGGCAAGAATGTCTCACTCAAGTATTTGGAACATGGAGGCCAGGAGAACACAGAGCAAGACCACGTGAAGCTCCTGCTGGAGAATACCAGACCAGGGGTCCCCCACGCCAGGCCCGGGACCGGGTGCCCCCACCCCCAGCTGCTCCCACGCCCAGGCCCGGGGCCCGGGCGCCCCCCACCCCCACGGCCCCAGCCCAGGCCTCACCAGGGCCAGCCTGCCGTCGAAGGTTCTCTGCTGCTCGTAGGCGATGTCGCAGGCCACACACAGGGCACTGTTCAAGCCTTTGGTCAGGAGCAGGTTGGGGTCAGCGCCATGGGACAGCAGCTCCTTCACAATCTGGACACAGACAGCCAGTCAGCGCCCAGCAGGCCACCCCAGTCCCCGAGGAAGGCCCCAGGGAGGCCCCGGGCACAGCGGGGGCCGCAGCTGGGCTCACAGCCCCGGGCTCTCTCCTTGGCTCCCACCCACAGGCTCTGAGGATGAGCTGGGACGGGGCGCACGGTGGTTCCTGGGGGGCTGCCATTCCGCCTGCGCGTCCAGGCTGGCGCCCTGTCTGCAGTGTCCAGTCTCGTCCGTCCCAGGGCACAGCTGAGCCAGCGCCCACCCCGTCAGCCCCTCACCCCTGGGACCAGCCTGCCTCTGCCCCTGGGCCTCTACGACCGCCAGACCAGACACGAAGGGGCCACATGTCCCTGTTGCCCTCTGTGCCCAGGTGCTGCCCAGGCAGCCAGGGGTCAGAGCTGCTGTGCCAGACACCAGGCCCTGACGTCTGTCTCGAGGACCTGCCTCTGCCCTGGGTGGGCTCTGCCCTGCCTGCCGCCTGGAAGGGCCCGGACGAGCAGGTACCAGAGAACTCACGGAAGGAAGGCGGGGGGAGGGGGACCCTGCGGAGGTAGCACAGAAGCCCACCTGCGGCAACAATGCCCTCAGCTTCTTCGGGCCTCTGCTAAGATGTCCCCTCACCAGAGAAGCCCTCCTGGCCACCGGCTGAAGCAGCCCACCCTCCATCACGTCCCTCTGTCCCTGATCCTCATTTTCTTTGTGACTCTTACCATTACCCAAAACGTGTCTGTTTCCCCAAATACTGTGTCAAGTCCTGAGAGCAGAGACTTGGTTTTACTCAACACTGGTGCCTGCCGGGCACACGGAGATGCTCCGAAATAGCAGGCAAATAAAAGGATGACCGGTGGGTGGAACAGAGAGGGGAGGCCGGAAGGAAGATGGATTGATGACGGAGGAGGGTTGGTGAGTGGGCAGGTGGATGGATGGATGGACGGACGGATCACACCCCAGGAGGAAGCATGCACCCAGCTGAACCCTCACCGCCCTGCTCACGTTCCCTTCTTGCGGACGCGCCCCCCACGCTGAGGTGACCCCCCCACCCACCCCGCTGCCATCTGGCCAGCAGCGCCCGAGCAGGCTCACCAGGTCATTCCCACTGGCGATGGCCAGAGAGAGTGGGGAGTGGCCGCACCACAGCAGGCTGGTGTTCGCTCTGCGGGACAGGAGGAGCTGGACGATGTCCCTGGCGTGCTGGGGGGGGGGGGTGGGCAGCAGGTTACAGAGGCTCCCGTGCCAGGGGCACTTGGCGTTAGCTCAGAGGTCTGACACCAGGGGCTGTTTCCTCCACCCGGCTCCGTGGCCGGCCCAGGGCGTCTGAATCCCAGGTAGGTGAGTGGTGGGCGAACGGGTCGGTCCGCAAACTGAGAAGAGGTTTTCTTGACACTCGCTTCCCATGAAGAATGGGGAGGACAGGTAGTGCGAAAATGTATTTAAAACTCGTTTTCAAGGGAAGGGGAGAGTCAGGACCCTTGGCCACCACAGCAGGCACTGGGCAGATGCGGCTGGAGGAGCCGCTCCGCCAGGCTGAGGGCCCTGCAGGGCGCCGCCCGGGAGAGGCCCAGCTGGGCTGAAGGAGGCTGCATAAGACCTCCCTCCCGCCAGCCTTCCCCTCGGGGAGCCCCCTCCCCCTCTTCTCCCAGAAGCGCTCTCAGGCTGGAGGGCTGCCCCTCAGAGACCACTTCCCTTTCTAGCTTCCCTGCCAGGCCAAGGCTCCCGGGAGTCTCCCCACCCCACTCCCTGCCTCCCTGCTGGGACGCAGAGCCCCGCTGGACAGCAGCAGCCCCCCTCTCAGCACTGGGGTTTTGTGCCCCCCACCCGTCCTTGACCTAACGGTGCCTCTGTCTCCTGACTGCTTCCCTGTAGCTTCTCCAAATCACGACTCAGCACCAGGGACGCAGGCATGTGACCTGCAAAGTGCTGTGCTCGAGCCCAGGCCTTGCGTACGGGATGGGGCCCTGGCCTCTGCCCCCGTCCCTGCCCCCGTCCCAGCAGGGGCTCACGCACCCTCAGGAGGTCTGGGCAGGCAGTGGCCCCGGCCCAGGAGGCTCTGACGCGGGGAGGCCTGGAGGTGCCTCCCACCTGCCCTCACCGGCAATGCTCAGGGCCACCCTCACAAGTCCTCACACTCCGGGTCAGGGCGGCACAATGGTCACCAGCGGTCCCGTGGCACACCCCGGGGCCACAGCCTCGAGGCCAGCCGTCGTCATTTACAGGAGGGTAAACGGAGGTTCAGTGGCTTATTGGCCTGGCCACACTGGCTACACCCGCAAAGCCCAGGCCGGGCTCCCAGTTCCCCTGTGCTCCGCCCCCGCCGACTTGGCTTCCGCTTTCGAGGAATCAGCCCCAGGCCAACAGGAGGCCCTGCTGCAGGCTCTGCAGGACCCTGTCCCCGCGGGGAAACTGAGTCAGAGGGTGACTGAGGCACACTGGACAGTCCAGCCCAGGCCAGCCACGCCCAAGTGTGTTTGAGCAGACCCCCCCAGAGGGAGTGATGGTCCCCACGACCCATGTGCATGCAGGCATGCGTGGGGCGGTGTCTCTCTCAAACACGCTTTGACACACGGGGCAGACAGTGCCTTCCGACATCCCCCCGTATTTTAGCCTAGTGGGTTCTATTTGGAGGGGGAGCAACCTACCCGGTCTGTTCTGAAGCCCACTCAGGCGGGATGGCCTGGGCCAACAGACCAAGGTCGGTCCCCACAGCCCGCCCGGCCCCACCACGGCTGGGACTCGCTGCCCTGCCCGGCACACCCAGACACACAGGTGCACCACCCAATCACACGCATGTGTGTGCACACATCCTGACCTATCAGGACAGCTCACACAGACACGCTCATGTGCGTACAAGTACCCATACGTGTGCACAGAAACCTGCGTGTGCACACCAGGCACGCACATGCACACCAGGCACACACGTGCACACCAGGCACGCACATGCACACCAGGGCACGCACGTGCACACCAGGCACACACGTGCACACCAGGCACGCACATGCACACCAGGGCACGCACATGCACACCAGGCACACACGTGCACACCAGGCATGCACATGCACACCAGGGCACGCACATGCACACCAGGCACACACGTGCACACCAGGCACGCACGTGCACACCAGGGCACACGCGTGCACAGTGCCCGCCCGCCCCCGGAAGGCCCTGCTCACCCTGTGGTTGTCCTCTCGCTCACAGGCCACATGCAGAGGCGTCCTGCCCCCCTCTTCAGGGGCCGGCGCGGTCGCACTGTAGTAGGCGCTGGGCGGGCCTGCTTCATTGCTGAGCTTCATGCTTGAGGGCAGCAGGTCCAGCTGTGTGCAGACCGAGGGGTCAGGCTGGGCCGTGAGCCCCAGCGAGCATGCTCACAGAGGGCGGGGCTCTCCCCCCCGTACTGCGGGTCTACAGCAGCATCCAGGAAACTGTCTGCATCGCGCCCCGTGCGTGTGCCCCGAGCCTCCCCTCCGCTCCACACGGGTGAGCAGCGCCTGCCCTGCGTGGAGCCAGGCTGCTTTGGGGCGCACGGAGCGTCAGCCAACCTCTTTAAGGACAATGAGACGAAAGTGACGTTTTGAGCTAAACAGACGACTCTGGGTACAGAACGACCCCCGGGCCCTGCACCCCACCTGCATGGCAGACGGCCCACCTTGCTCAGTTTGCGCATGTCGTCCTGGTCGGCCGCCCTGGTGTCCACGTCCATGATGGCGTGGAGCAGCAGCTCTGTTATCTGGATGCCTTCCTCCCCAGGAAGGGCCGCTGCAATGTGGAGGGGGGTCAGGGCCCCCTGCTGCAGAGGAAGTACAGGAGGGGCAGGTGCAGCTCTTGGGTGAGCGCTCCCCACGGTGCCAGAGCCTGTCAAGGGTGCGAGCCCCATGCTGGTCCTAGCGTCCCACCCACAGCACTGCATCCTCAGAGCCCCCCACCCACAGCACTGCATCCTCAGAGCCCCCCACCCACAGCACTGCATCCTCAGAGCCCCGCCAGGACGTTCAGGACAACGAGGCCCGTCCGCGGTGCCCCACAGACAGACACGTCGGTTCCAATTCTTAAGATGCTCCATCTGTCCGGGCCACGGGCGCACAGGCCCTGGTGCCAGCCTCCCGTTAGACCACTGCCCCTGCCTTCCTCCTGGACAAGCCCACCCTCCCTGCCAGGCCCTTCCTACGCCACTGTAGACCGCCACGCGGCTCCCGCCGCCGCCCCTACCCAGGCCCGCCGTCCACCACAGCAGCCCTCCCAGCTCCGGTGAGAGTCACTGGAGGACTGTCTCCAAGACGCTCGGGCAGCCTTGACCACACACAGGTCCGGGGGCTGCTGCTGGAGGAGGCGCGGCCGACCTGGAGGGAGACCCCAGCCAGGACACAGTGCACGCTGGGCCAACCCTCCACGCTGGACCCTGTGGACACAGGAAGGGCCCTGGGGAGAGGCTGGAAGGGCTCTTAGAAACCACTCACATGTGCCTGCTGTGCACACGGGGGGGGCTGGCATGCTCCTGGCACCTGTAACACTACCTACTCAAAGAGTGTGAGAAAGCAAGCCTTCTGCTTGAAAGCGTGATGTAAGTAATCGGTTCTTGGTTGGGAAAGGAGAGAGGGAGGGGTGGGGGGGTATGGGTGGATGGGTGGATAGGTGGGTGGATGGGTGGATGGGTGGGTGGACGGGTGGGTGGACGGGTGGGTGGACGGGTGGGTGGACGGGTGGGTGGATGGATGGACGGGTGGGTGGGTGGATGGACGGGTGGGTGGATGGACGGGTGGGTGGACGGACGGACGGACGGGTGGACGGACGGACGGGTGGGTGGACGGACGGACGGGTGGGTGGACGGACGGGTGGGTGGGTGGGTGGACGGACGGACGGGTGGGTGGGCGGACGGACGGGTGGGTGGGTGGACGGACGGGTGGGTGGACGGACGGACGGACGGGTGGACGGATGGACGGGTGGGTGGACGGACGGGTGGGTGGGTGGGTGGACGGGTGGACGGGTGGATGGGTGGGTGGGTGGATGGATGGGTGGATGGGTGGGTGGGTGGATGGATAGATGGGTGGGTGGATGGATAGATGGGTGGGTGGATGGATGGGTGGGTGGGTGGGTGGACATATGATAGGTGGATGGATAGATGGGTGGGTAGGTGGGTGGACATATGATAGGTGGATGATGTCTGTGCCGAGTTTAAAGGTGCAACCTCAGTCAATTTCAAAGACGGAGTCCTATCAGAAACATGAAGTTATCATGAACTGTCCTGGGTCTCACACCAGCTCTACTTCCTGCACTACTTGACCTTATTCTCAGAAGAGAAGGAAAGACACAGCCTGGCCAGGGGGCCTGAGAGGTGAGACCTGCCTACCCGAGAGTGAAGGCCGAGGCGAAGAAACCACAGCCTCGGTCCCATCAACCCTCGAAACACAGCAAAGGGCCTGAATGACCGCAGGGCGGGCGCTCGCCGAGCCAGAGCAGGCAAGCAGCCGTACGGTACCAGCGAGTGTCAGGCCCCCGCTCGGGCCGGCACCGCAAACGGTCCTCGCGGCTGCCCTCCGGCTCGCTCCGCACCCCGGGCCCCACCTCAGGGGGCAGCTGGACGTCCGTCCTGGCGCCGTTCTCCAGCAGCAGCTTCACCCCGTCCACGTCCCCCGCCTTCACGGCGAAGAACAGGACCTGCATGGGCACGCGGCACAGGTTGGGGTCAGCGCCTCGGTGCAGCAGGCGGTGGATGGTCAGCCACCTGTTCCTGCGTCTGGAAGGATCAGTGTGACAGGTCACAGGCTGGAGGAGAGGCACCAGCGGCTACCTGGGCAGCACCCTGGTTAGGACCCTGTCCCCCGGGGAGGACACTTAGGACACACTCCCTCATGGTGCCCTGAGCCCCAGGGTCCTGCCCTGCCGAGACCTCCGGCCCCTGCGCTGGGCCAGAGCAAGCTCTCCACACCACCCTGAGCAAGCCGGCCTGGGCAGCACAGGTCCAGCTGTGGCCCTGCCTGGCTTGGCCCTCGGGGTCACTTAGCCTCAATGGAATCACCTGTGAGATAGAGTGTGGGGTAGGGACCAGACCCCCCTCCTGGGTGGCTTTGAGGTGATGACATTAAGCACCTGGAACGCTAGGGCATGAGGTTGCACCATACACACCAGACATGCACACACACACACACACACCAATACAGAATATACACACACATACACCAATACATATACACATACACTCCCATATACACACACACCAATACACACACACACCAATACATAATACACACACACACATACACCAATGCACATACACACCCATATACACACACACCAATACATAATACACACACATACACACACCAATATATAACACACACACACACACCAATACATAATACACACACACCAATACATAATACACACACATACACCAATGCACATACACACCCATATACACACACACCAATACATAATACACACACACACATACACCAATGCACATACCCATATACACACACACACACACACCAATACATAACACACACACCCACATATACACTAATGCACATACACACCCATATACACACATACATACACCAATGCACATACACACCAATACATAATACACACATACCCACATATACACTAATGCACATACCCATACACACACACACACCAATACACACACACACCAATACATAATACACACACACACCAATACATAACGTGCACATACCCACATATACACTAATGCACATACCCATATACACACACACATATACACCAATGCACATACACACCCATATACACACACACACACACCAATACACACATACACCAATACATAATACACACACACATACCAAGGCACACACAGAAATACACACCACACGCATGCACTCACATATACCACACACACATCTCTTATGAGGCGTACAGGGCTGGGGGAAGATGGGCCGAGACCTGGGCCTTGGGGTCCCAGCTGGGGGGGCTGGGAGGGCAGTGGTTGTGCCAAGGAGCCAGGCGGGTGGTGAGGTGGCGGAGGGCCCGGTGGGTGGCGGGTCTGCTGGCCCGGCACCGGCACAGAACCAGGCGGGCAGGGCAGTGAGAGGCCGGGTCAGTCTGGGTCAGTCGAGAGCAGCAGTTCTCAAACTTCCTGCTCTTGGGACCCTGTCCACCCTTCGAATTCTCCAAGGACCACGAAGAGCTCGGTTTCTGGGGGTTCTGTCCACTCCTGCCGACTGTATGACACATTAAAACTGAGGATTTTTCAAAACTATTTTTTGTTTATCCTCACCCACGGGTATTTTTCCATTGATATTTAGATAGAGTGGAAGGGAGGGAGGGAAGGAGAGAAACATCGATGTAAAAGAGACACATCAATCGGTTGCCTCCTGCAGGACCCCAATGGGGGCCAAGGATCAAACCTGCAACCCAGGTGCGTGCCCTTGACCAGGAATCAAACCCGAGACCCTTCGGTCTAAGGGCTGATGCTCTAACCGCTGAACCAAACTGGCCAGGGCAAAGCTGAGGATTTTAAAAATACTAATATGTTTACAAGTAACAGTAACAAAACCCTTCGTGTCAACACAGAGCATTTCCATGGAGAAGATGCGTCTGGCTACCCCAGAACCCCACTCGGGGCCCTCCCCAGCTGGACATAGGACTCGGCCATGTGGACGGACGGCCTCACTGAGACCACACCCAGGTGGACACGAGTCACAGACAATGTGTGGTGGACGCAAATGCTCCAAAATTCTAATTCTCACTAGAGAGCTGGGTGTACCCGACAACACAGTGCCAACACCAACTGTGTGCAGAGTGAATGACCACCGTGTGCTTTCTCCCCAAAACCCCCACAGTGGTCCAAGGCAGACGTGCTCCGGACGCCCTTCCCGCTTGTCACACATAACGTCGCATGCGTGGGCTCGCGGTCAAGATGTGATAAATCAGTCATTTCTGTGGCGGGAGCGGGTGCAGCTCCGGGGGACACCGGCGTCCCCTTGTGCGCACGGGGAGAAACGCCACGTGACTGCCACACAACCGTGACGCAGGACGGGATGATTAGGAGAAGCGTTTAAACACACAGGTTCTCCAAAAGGGTTTGAGGCACTCGGGGTACGTGGGATGTGGTTGGAGAACCACTGGTCTAGACCACGAGGGGGGTGAGTGTGTGTGAGCCCGAGGGGTGCCCACCGCCCAGCCTGGGACACACTCCCTGTCTCCTGCCCACCCTCAGAAGCCACAGCCAGGTCCCCGGCACCGAGCCACCAGAGAAGGTCCCCAGACCCCTGAGAGAGAACGCACAGGCACTAGAAACAGCCCCTCCCAGGACGCACCCTGAGCCAGCCCTGGCCCCGCCGCTGACACGCGGCCACCTACTCGATCATCGACAGCGCCATCTGCCTCATGGTGCCCCTGTTGGAGCCCGTGTCGCCGGAGGTGGCCCGGAGCCTGCTGTAGACCTCAGCACCCTTCTCCAGCAGGTCCCAGGACAGCTCGATGGAGAAGTTCTGCACGCACATGTTGGACCCGAAGACGGACTCGTGGCTGCCCAGCGTGCCCTGGTCCAGGCTTTCCAACGCGTCGTCCGGCCCCTTGTCCGAGTCGCTGGTGCTGCCCCTCAGCGACGTGGACCCACACTTCTGGGAGCTGCCCCGGCGGTCGATGGACTCGGGGCTGCCTGAGGTGAGCACCATCTCCTCAGAGTAGGTCGAGTCCGAGTCGTGGAACGTGAAGGAGTTCTGAGTCGCTGAGAATTTTGGAGCTTCCTTTGGAAGGCACTAAAAAGAAATCATTAGGACAAAGGTTAGAGGGGCAGCCCCGTGAAACGTCTTCCTAGCAAGGCTCTGTGCTTGAGCCGAGGACAGTTCCCAGGACCTGGGCTGGCACACAAGTGCCTTCCGAAAACTCAGAGGGGCAGCACACACCCTACAGACACGGCAGCCGCCAACCCCACAGGGCAAGAACCGTCCCCACCAGGCACGGGTCAGTGTGAAGCCACCAGCAAGACCAAGTGTCTCCCCACTGGCTACACACTGAAGTGTCAATGGAGGGTCAGGGGCCAATTCAGCTCCAACAGGAACCCCCAGTGTGGGGTGAGGTGAAGGAACCGGTTCCGTGCAAACAGCTCAGCAGTGACACAGCACCTCTGCGAAGCAGCCTGTGGCCCCGAGTTCCGCGCTGCCCGCCCCAGTCTGCCCAGGTCTCAGCAGTTCTCCCAACCAAGGACCGGCTCCCAGCCCCCATCCCCCAGGGCAAAGGGAAGGTGGGCTCCCAGACCCAGGGGGAGCTGGCTTATATGGACAGAAGACCCCACCCCTGGCCCCTGATTGGTCCACTTTCATGCAAATGAGGACTCCAAATCCTTGCAGCTTGATTGGCCCGAACAACACTGTCCTGACTAGTCAGACAGAGCTGCTCTGATTGGTCAGTGAAGATGTGTCTAGCTCGCACTGGCTGGGGCAGCCTCCGTCCCATTGGTTGACCTCGGATTCCAGGAACTCAGTGCAGGGTCCCACCTGCAGTCCGGTTTGCCTGAGACACCCCTGTGCAGACATGGCTGGGCTCCCTTGTTCCTCTGTTTGTTTTGTTTTTGTTTGAGAGCCCAGTAAACCACCTGGAGCCTTTCTCAGCAGGTATCTTCTTTCTAGAACAGGGTCCGTAGAAGCGATGACCGTGGACACGCCAGGTTAAATAAAGTACGTTAGCCCTGGCTGGTTCGGCTTAGTGGTTTAGAGCTTTGGCCCGGGGACCGAAGAGTCGTGGGTTCGATTCCGGTCAAGGGCACGTACCTCCATTGCAGTTCAATCCCCGGCCCTGGTTGGGGTTGTGCAGGAGGCAACCAATCGGTGTGTCTCTCTCACATCGATGTTTCTCTCTCTCTCCCTCTCCCCCACTCTATCTGAAAATCAATGGAATAAAGATCCTCGGGTGAGGATTAAACAAAAATAGAAATAAAAAAGTATGTTAATAAAATTAATTCCACCTTTAACACTTCCATGTGGAAAACTTGAAATCCTACACGGGCGCCCGCGGTGACCCTTCTCCAAGCGTGGACCCCAGACCAGCGTCAGCACTGCCAGCATTGCGTATCCCTGGGTCCCACCCGAGACCCACTGAGGCAGAAATGCTGGGGTGGGGCCAGGCATCTGTGATTTTTTCCCTGCAAACAGTTGAGGTTTTGGGGGCCTAGGAGCCTCTGTCCTGACTCCAGCCTTCAATGCAAACCAACGGCGACAGTCGGTGAAGGCTGATGCGCCCTGTTCCCACGGCTTCACCTCCAAGGGCAGCCCTGCTCCAGGGGCCCCACGCCCGGTCCGGTTTGCCAGCCGCTCTCTGTGGGGCTGAGCAGGGGTCAGAGGAGAGCCTGTCCCCGCAGAGACGAAGCACAGCCAGCCTCCCCAGGAGACAGGATGCTCTGAGGGAGGGAGGCAGGAAGCCACCAGCCACATGCAGGGTGCAAGCTTGTTTGGATCGGGACCCGCGCGGGTCCATTCTCGGGCATTTTCACAGAGAACCGGGAAAACCGCACGAGGACGGGGATCGGAGGACATCAGAAAAGTCCACTGGATTCTTTTGGGCTGAGATAACGGTGTTTGTAGTTGTGTTAAGAGACAGAGGAGCACGGCCGGTGTGGCTCAGTGGTTGAGCGCCGACCCTGCACCAGGAGGTCGCCGGTTCTATTCCCGGTCAGGGCACATGCCCAGGTGGTGGGACCGATCCCCAGTGGGGGTCATGCAGGAGGCGGCCAATCGATGTTCTCTCTCATTGATGTTTCTATCTCTCTCTCCCTCTCCCTTCCTCTCTCTCTGAAAATCAATAAAAATGTTTGTTTGAAAAAGAATAAAGACAACATGTGTCCTTAGCTGGTGGAGACACAGAGGCGTCGTTCCGGCTGAAGCCACCTGTGGGGAACATACTCTAACCGACACCAGTGAGGGCCGGCGGGGGCTGTGCAGGAGGGGAGATGAAACGTGTAAAAGCAAAGGTTTTTACAAGAATTTAAAGAATGGAATTAAAAGGCTTTATGGGCCGGATTCCTTCATGAAGAATCAATTTACTCTGAGCGTATGAGGAGGCTCAATCTCTGCCTCCCCAACCCCTGCTCCCAGACTCCCCTGAGCCCGCACCCCTGGGCTTGTGAGGCTGTGGGGACCCACCAGCCTGTCTATCCAGTGGGCTGCCGCTGGAGGCCAGAGAACAAGAATGCCCGCTACCTCCGTCCACAAGGGCACCTTGACCTTGAAAGCCGGTCGTTACTGTAGTGAACAGCGTCGACTAAGAACACAGCGCCTGGCAGACGAGACGAAGCTGCTCGGGAAGCCAGGCAGGGTGACGGCTCTGGCCGCAGACCCCATCACTGCCGACTGCTTGCCCGCGTCCCCGTCAGTCCTGACCACGGCGACAGAGTGCCTGCTCGCAGCGGGGCCACCGTGCCCTTCCGAGAGTCATCAGCTCGGAGGAAATGAGGCGGCCCAGGGGCTGAGCCCTCTGGGCACGTCAGGGGCCACAGGCAGGCCCTCCAGACGGAAGATGCTGGGGCAGCGGCTCTGGGCCTCCTCCCCACACACCTCTCACCACCAGGCTGGCTGGTGACCTCCGAGCTCCCGTGCAGGACTTGAACTTGAGGAGTGGGGACAGGGGGTATCTGGTCACCCCAGGAACTCTGTCTGTAGGGGCACAGGATGGGCTAAGAAAAAGCCTTTTCTCAAGAAAGAGATTCAGGAGGTTGGGAGGAGGTGCGGGATGAAGAGACTCTGGCCACGGGGACCTTTTCCAGGTGGAAGTCGCCACCCGGCACGACCCGGGAGGCCCTCAGACCACCATCGAAGGAAGCCCTCGGCCTCTCCGAAGCCCTTCTCAGTGGACATCAAGCCCAGCCCCACCTGGCATGGCTGGCAATCAGGGGCCGGGCTCCCTGCAGGTGCGGCCCACTGCCCACGCTCAGTGTGGACACCAGGCCTGCCTGCCCCGCGGAGGGCTGGCCTTGGGGGCGGAGTCAGGTTCCTCCACAAGTTCGACCCAGGCTGTACGTGACCCACTTCAGGGTCCAGCCGTCTCCACGCACAGCCCGCACCGCAGAGGCCCCCACATGGGCCAGGACGGTGCAGCCCACTCATACCAGGGCTGTGCGGTGTGATCGTCCTCCCCGATCAAAGTGTCGCCCCCAACCACCGGAAGCAGGGGCTCAGACCAGCGCTTTGCAGGGACATCCGGGCAGCACCCACCGCTCGTGAGGGGAGGACCAGGGGGTCGGGGCCCCGCTGCTGCACATGTGGCTTGTAGGACACGTGTCCCTCGGAGACCTGCAACATGCTCAGAACCCCTTGGCTAGTGTGCAGTTTCTGTCTGGCCTCCCGCCCCCCGGCCACAGGCCTCGCTGTCATCTCACCCATCTGAGCCTGGCCCGTGCAGGGAGAGGCGGCTGGTGGGCAGCTGGGAAGACAGGGATGGACATGGGGGGACGGGGGCCAGGGGGCAGGTGGACAGGTGGGCGGCGGACACTGAGCCAGGCCGCGGGGGCCCAGGGTCTGACCTGGGGCTCAGGTGCTGTCCTCTCGGCGATGTTGGGCTTGAAGGTCCCGGCCGGGTAGTAGAGGAGGAAGCAAGCTCCCAGCGCCGTGAGGCCCTCATCCGTACACCTGTTCACGTCAGCCCCGTGGTCCAGCAGCAGGTTGATAATGTCAATGTGACAGTGGACCTGCAGGGAGAAGGCCGGTGTCAGGAGAGCCGGCTCCCCAGCCAGGGCGGGGAGGGCCCTGCCCGCCCACAGGCCGCCCTGAGCTCCGAGGCAGAGACGGGCTCTCCCTGGGGCTTAGCAGAGGCTCATCACCATGCGACTGGGCACGTGAAGGTCGGCCCTCACCCTTTTCCTCCTGACCCAGAGAGCGCTGCGGCTTCACGGAGGGGGGAGAGGACGTCCCCCACCCACTGGAGGGTGCCATTGCCTGGGACCTCAAGGGTCAGTGCTCCTGCAGGGTGACCCGCAGCAGACCCGGCGTGGGGGACACGGGGCAGGGGGAGGCTCACTGCGGCGGCGACCAGCACGGTGTAGCCCTGCGCGTCGGCCACGTCCGGACTGGCAAGGTTGTCCCTCAGGATCCCATAAATCCAGTCGTAGTTCCCTTCCTCTGCCTTCAGGATCATCTCCCTGGCGAGCCGCTCCTTGGGCCCCGCGCACGCGAAGCTGCTCCGGTTCCCGTCCAGGATGGCGCCCATGTTCCAGCTGGAGTGCGCCTTCTTGTTCCTGCAACACGCGAGCTTCCGTGGACCCAACACCTGCCCCAGAGGAGCTGCCCTGGACCCGCCCTCCTACCCTTCCTCTCCCCCTTCCCCTCCCCCTCAGCCCTGGGGCCCGCACGGCTGGCCGGCCACGGTCTGCGCGGACCCGGTGCCGTGGTGGACACACCACTGCAGGTGAAGAGGCTCAGGCGCAGCGTCTGCCTGGGCAGCATGGCCGCGAGCGGACGCCACGCATCCCTAATTCATCCAGTCCCTCTGTGGGCTGGGGAGGGCTCTCACAGCAGGGCCCTGGGCAGAAAGGGGCCGGGCACTCAGCAGCCGCGTCCCAGCTCTGCTCTTCGCTCTGCTGTCTGAGCAGAGAACACGCAGTCCCGTAGCTCACTCCCCACACGCACAGAGCCTGTGTGCACAGGGCCGCTCGCAGTCACGGCCCTGCTCTCACGGCGGCCTCTGTACCCAGCAGGCACCGACGCTGCGGGCTCAGCTGAGGTCTCCGTGGTGGACAGGCTGATGCGTCAGCGAATCAGTGGGTGGCTCAGTGGATAGATGGGTGCGTGGATGGATACAGATGGTGGTGTGTGCACACATGGAAATGGACGACAGGTGTGTGCACGGATGGATGTGGACAAGGGGGTGTGCGCGGATAGATGTGGACGACGGGTGTGCGCGCGGATGGATATGAACGACAGGTATGTGGACGGGTGGATATGGATGACAGGTGTGTGCACGGATGGATATGGACGAGGGTGTGTGTGCGGATGGATGTGGACGACGGGTGTGTGCGCAGATGGATGTGGACAGATGGGTGTGTGCGCGGATGGATGTGGATGATGGTGTGTGCACAGACGGAAATGTACCATGGGTGTGTGCACGGACGGATATGGACAGATGGGTGTGTGCACGGATGGATATGGACAGAGGGGTGTGTGCACTGATGGATATGGACAGATGGGTGTGTGCACGGATGGATATGGACAGATGGGTGTGTGCACGGACAGATATGGACAATGGTGTGTACGTGGATGGATGCCTAAGTACCTCTGGTGCCCACAAACATGTATTCTAAGACAGTTTAGTGGTACCTGAAGGCACAGTTTAAGAAACGAATTAAAACATTCTTAAAATTTTTACTTAGTCAGTTTCCCTTCAGTGCCGCTAAGCCTTCCCGGGCTGTGGGGTGGCGGTGTCTTTGGAGACCAGCCAGGCAGCTCTGCCTTTCCCTGGCCCCTCTGGAGAAGCCAGAGGCCCAGCCAGCCCCCAGCCCGCTCTCGCCCTGCTCCACCACTCTTGGCTCTCTGGCCAGATCCATAATAAGACATCATGGTAATAACAGCTCCTCCTTTTTGTGGGGACCTCATGCGGGGACTTGGCCATCTAGTCACAGACACCACCCTGCACAGGTCTGGGCACCAGCTCCAACCGGCATGGAGGAAACGCGAACAAGGCCCAGCGCCAGAGCGTGGGCTTAGCTCCATGGGCTTCGGAGTGGGCCCTGCTCCACACTCACCAAGCAGCCTCCTGACCACCCCTTCCCCCGAGCAGGCCAGCAGACCCCGGGGCCCCGCAGGCTCCAGCACTGGGGCCTGTCCCAGCCACAAGCCCTGGCACCGGCGTCCCCTCCTGCTCTTCAAGGCCAGTTAGAAAGAGAAGCCTATTTCCCCAACCTGATAAAGAGCCCTCAGGCAGGAGGACAGGTGTCCCAGACATCAGGTGAGAACGGCAGCCGGGTTACCTGAACTTGTACGCTTGCTTCTGGATTTTGAGCATCAGCGGGGTCTCGTTTTTGACGAACCAGGGCTCCCCGTCCTCCACGAAGGGAGGGACGTCGTGCAGGAAGGCCCGGGCGTCCAGGTCTCTGCGGAAGGAGCGGGTCATGGGCAGGTGTGCGTTGTCGGTGGAGTAGATGTACAGCTCCGGGGGCAGCGTGAGGTCGTCGTCCAGCAGAAACTGCTTGTAGTCGTAGAAGAACGGGTCCCGGGCCTCGTCCAGGTCCCACTTCCTGGCCTCCTCGTCAGACAGGCTGATGCGAGCAGGCGGGTGCGCAAGGCAGCCGGCGAACTCGGGGTACCGGCGGCGCATGGAGAAGCCGCTGGGGATCTCGGTGCACAGCTTGACCAGGTGCTCCCGGAACCACAGCCCCACGTCCTGGCTGCCGTCGGGGTAGGTCTCGATGCCCGGCCCGAAGCGCTCATCTGCTTTGTACAGCCCCTGCGAACAGGGCCCCGCAGGGCCGAGGGTGGACTCAGCCGGCTGTGCACACTGCACCAGTTTCTTTAAATCAAAAGAAGAAACGTCTTCATTCCCTCAACAAATATTCATGGGGCTTCGCTTGTCCCCGGTACAGGGCCCAAAAGCAACGAGTGGACACGGACGTGTTGGTGGAGAGCAAGCTGTGGGCCCGAGGTAGTCAGGGGTGGCCTTTCTGAGAAGGGGGGGACACGACCGAGGGCCTCAAGGTAGAAGGGCACTGGAGGGTGCCAGGAGGGGCTCATTTTGGGGAACCCCCTGCCGCTCTAACACTGGGGACCCAGCCCCAGTGCCTCAGCAGTGCGTGGGTGAAGGTGCCAGGCTCCCGGTCAGACAGACCCCAGCAGGTGTGACCAAGGAGGAGAAGCTAATCCTTGCTGCCTGTGAACCTGGCGGACTGCAGAAATTACTGGGCCTTTCTGGATGCTTCCACCAGGTATGGAGACAGAAGAGCCAGGAGGAACAGACAATGAGCCTCGACGCGGCCCCAGGACAAGGGAGCCTGGGGCTGGAGTTCCCTGCAGGGCACAGTGAGGGGCCAGTTCCCAGGGACCTGATCTTTCCTGCAAGGTGCTGAAGGGAGCCTGGAGGTCACGGGAGGGCAGAGAAAACCCTCTGGGCCCGAAACGGGGACACGCGAGTCACTCCCTGAGCACTCCCTGAGCACAGCCTGGTCTCTGAGCACAGAAGTCCCTCCTGTGGTTTCCACCTGTTCAACATGCCCGTCTGAGCCGCTCAGACAGCAGGCCCGGGGCTGGCGCCACGAGACAAGGCTTCCTGACGCGGGGCCTGCCCACAAGGAGACCCCAGCCTACAACAGGTGGCAAATATGACACGAAGGAACACAACACTCTGAGGGTGACTTCACCGTACAAAGGGTTGGGGTAGAAGCCGGGGTATTTCTGGAGGAATCTGCGGCAACGGGGCACAAGTCTGTGCCGGTCTGTGAGAGTGCCCAGTGAGGCAGAGGAAGGAAGAGGTGCGGAGAGATGAGGCAGCTGCCACAGCAGTCCCTCTGCAGCGTCACTGTGCAGGGGTACGCCACAAGCCGGATGTGCTCCGAAGAAACACTGGAGGCGGGGCAAGGAAGGGGGTGGGGAGGGGGCAGTGGCCCTGACCCAAGGGCTCCAGGTCTAGGACTTTTTACCAGGAAACAACCTGGCATCAGAGCTGTTCTCACAAACGTGGCCACAGCACACAATGGCTAACCCGATGGCTAAACGAGGAGAGTGTGTCCAACCCAACCTCCTGCAGGTTTTCAGTTTTCTCTTCTGGGTTTGTTGTCCACGATGGTGCCAATTCAAGACAACAGGAATCCTCCACTTGGGGTGCAGTGAAACAGGAAACTATTCAGTGCAAAACAGCTCAACTGTGGTCCAGCACAGCTCAGCCCTGGGTCCAGGCCTCCTTCTGCCCAGACAGCTCTGCTGCAGCGAGAGCCCTTCAGTACTGCAGCTCGGACACGGACACTCACACTCACCACCCTTCACTGCGGGGGGAAGGTGTGCTCCCAGAACCCCTGGGAACTGGCTTATATAGACAGGAGCCTCTACTGTTGGTCCCCGACTGGTCCATCTTCATGCAGATGAGGACTCCAAATCCTTGTAGTTTGATTGGTTCAAAAGGCACTTTCCTGATTGGTCAGAATGGAGCTGCTCTGATTGGTTGGTGAAAATGTTGCTGGGTGGGGGATATAAATGCACAGCTGATTGGATGGTGAAAGCCTCGGTCCTATTGGTTGACATAGGATTCCAGGAACTCCTTTATGAGGGCTGGCTCAGCTGCAGGGACAGCCAGGCTGCTCCCCAAAGTGCGGTGTGTGCCAGGACCTTGTGCAGAAATGACGGCTCTGTTTTGTTGTGTGTTTCTTATATTTGAGCCCAGTGAGCCACCAGGGTATCTTCTTAGTAAATATCTTCTTCTCGGGGTCCACACTGTTGACTTTTGAGCAAACAACCTCAGGAGGAGAGCATCCCAAAGGTCACGGGCAAGCCTGGGAGGATCCAGGAGCAGGCCATGACCTCAGCAGGGCCTGGGGCCGTCCTCTCGGGCCATCGGCCATCCCACAGGACAGGAGGGGAGCGTGCTGCCTGGAGGTGGGGAGGAATGTGTGTGCGTGTTTGCTCAGTTGGGAGCTGCAAAGACCAGACCAGAAAACATCAGCAATGACAAAGGAGGGCTCAGGAAGTTAGAAAAAGGGTGGGAACATACTCCTCTGGGTGGACCTGTTTGCTTGATTTCACCTGGAAAATACCACTTTTGTACACAATCACAAAACTATGTTACAGCAAGATTTTAACAACAGAATCCTAGCCCTGGCCAGTTTGGCTCAGCGGCAGAGCGTCGGCCTGAAGACCAGAGAGTCAAGGGTTTGATTCCGGCCAAGGGCACGTACCTTGGTTGCAGTTCATCCCCGACCCTGGTCGGGGTCGTGCGGGAGGCAGCCAGTCAATGTGTCTCTCACATCAATGTCTCTCTCTCTCCCTCCCCCTCTGAAAATAAATGGAAAAATGTCCTTGGGCGATGATTTAAAAACAAACAAACAAACAAACAGAATCCTAAAATATGAAAGCGAAATAGCACAAGTGAATGTGGCCCTGTATCCAGGGCAGGAGGAGCCCCAGGGAGGAATCATTTCACATGAGTTGACCCCACATCCCTGGAGGGACAGGCCAGGGGACAAAGGATGGCTGAGGAATCTCGAGCTGCCTTCGGAAACCACAGTGGCGCGGAGGATGCCGCGCTGTTACGCTGAAACGGTCACACGTATGTTGTGAGACAAACACACGGGGAATTCTGTTAAGTCGGAAACCGAGACTGTTAGGACGAAGAGGGAAGTAGGCAGACACAGCAGCAGGCGGGGAGGAAAGGCCCCGTCCTCCCTAACTGGGGCTGGAGACATAGCGGGAGGAGCCGGGAATGACCTTCCTCATGAAGAAATGTTTCTGGATCTGCTACTGAAAAGGCCTAGAAAGAATACCCACCCGACACAGCGCTAATGAGCACCCCGCGGGTTCCGGATCCAGCGCGAGGAGCCTGGAACCCCGTGTCACAGCAGGAAGATGACCCGAGCCCGCTGGCTGTGTCCAGATCACAGGAGACCAGTCACAGAGGCTCTGCCCGACCAAAGCTGGGACGACCCGGGCATCAGCCGGCATAATAACGGCAAGGGACCGAAATACATCACATGTGTCAAAAATCCATGTGTTCATGAAGATACAAATTGGTTACCACTGAAGGGTGTTAAGAAATCAATTATTCTGAAAACTGATAAGAAAAAAGATCAAGTGTGTTTTTGCCTTTCTCATATAAACTACCTCAAGGTGACCGAACAGTTGAAGAATGTTTTAAACTAGCCCTGGCCGGTTCGGTTCAGTGGTTAGAGCATCGGCCCGCGGACCAAAGAGTTCCGGGTTCGGTTCCCAGTAAGGGCACGTATCTCGGTTGCAGTTTGTCCCCGGCCCTGGTTGGTCGTGTGGGTGGCAGTCACTCGATGTGTCTCTTTCACATCAATGTTTCCCTGTCTCTCCCTTCCTCTCTCTCCCTCCCACTCTATCTGAACAAAAATAAATAAATAAAGTGACCCCAGTTCATAGATTGGGGGGGTGGATGACAGGAGTCCTAGAAGTCACTACCTGGCACCCTCTAATGAAATCACAGCTCTAGACCATGATCACAAACTTTCTCTAAGGCTGTGAGAAGGAAGGCAGGTGGCTCGTCATCATGCAGATAGAATGAGGCTGCTGACACCTGAGCTCATTGGTCAGTCTTGACATCACATAAAGACAGACAACCAGACGTGTGTCTCCAGGTGTGATTTCTGACAGAGATGCAGAAACTAGGCAGTGGACTTGCCAATGGCACATCAGATAAGGGGTTAATCTCCAAAATATACAGTGTTCATACAACTCAACAAAAGAAAGACAATTCAATTAAAAAATGGAAAGAGGACCTAAATAGACACCTCTCCAAACAGGACATACAAATGGCCAAGAGACATGAAAAAATGCTCAGTGTCACTAATTATCAGAGAGATGCAAATTAAAATGACTATTATCACCTCACACCTGTCAGAATGGCCACCATCAACAAATCCTCAAACAAGCGTTGGCGAGGGTGTGGAGAAAAGGGGACTCTAGTACACTGCTGGTGGGAATGCAGACTGGTGCAGCCACTACGCAAAACAATATGGTGTTTCCTCAAAAAATTAGAAATTGAACTGCCATTTGACCCAGTGATCCCACTTCTAGGAATATACCCTAAGAAGCCTGAAACACCAATCAGAAAGAATATATACACCCCTATGCTCATAGCAGCGCTATTTACAATAGCTAAGATCTGGAAATAGCCCAAGTGGCCATCAGTAGATGAGTGGATAAAAAAGCTGTGGTACATGTACACAATGGAGTACTATGCAGCTGTAAGAAAGAAAGATCTCTTATCCTTTGAGATGACATGGAGGGACCTGGAGAGTATTATCCTAAGCGAAATAAGCCAATCAGAGAAAGACAAATATCACATGATCTCACTTATTTGTAGAATATAATGAACAAAATGAGCTGTTGATCAAAATAGATCAAGAGACATGGAAGTAGGGACAAACCTCAGAAGAAGGAGTTGGGGGGGAGAGATAAACCAAAGAACTTACATGTAAATATGCACAACCAATGGACACAGACAATAATACCGTGAAGGTGGAGGGAGAGATTAAATTTTTTAAATTAGAAAATTAATTTTTTTAATTAATTAAATTTTTAAAAAGCTAGGCAAAGGCAATGGAGAAATGTCAGTCTTTTCAACAAATGGAGCTAGAAAAATTGAATATCCATATATGGAAGGGGAGGGGAAGCAGACGGGGAGGAGGGGGAGGAAAGGGGAGGAGGAGGGGGGAGGGCAGTAGAGGGGAGGAGGGGAGGAGGGGAGGAGGGGAGGAGGGGAGGAGGGGGAGGAGGGGGAGGAGGGGGAGGAGGGGGAGGACGGATCCTTGCTTCAGGTTAAACACAAGTTAACTCAGAATAGATCACAGACCTCAAATATAAACACTAGAACCATAAAACAGAAGAAAACACTGATGAACATCTTAGAAACCTTGGGTTAAGCAAACATTTCTTAAATAGGGAACAATAAAAAAAAATAAAAAACAAGACTAGGAAAGATAAACAGATAAGTAGAACCTTGTCACAATTTTTTAATTTTTATTTTATTTATTTATTTTTTTTTTTGGTATGTGCCCCTAGCAGGAACCGAACCCAGGACTCTCTGGTCCGCAGGCCAACGCTCCAACCGCTGAGCCAAACCAGCCAGGGCTCTTGTCACAATTTTTTTAAATCTGCTTTTCAAAAGACACTGACTGTTAGGAAAATGGAAAGGCACGCCGCCATTGGAAGAAAATATTTGTAAGTCATATAAGTGATAAACGCTGTATCCGAAACACAAAGTGGGGCAAAAGTGGGTTTATAGTTGTGAGTACGCAAAACGGTTTATTCTTGTATTATTATCTATTAATTATTGTATCATTTCCATACGAACAACTGTAAATCTACTTTAGCTCCACCCTATATATACAAAGAACTCTATAATAAGAACCCAAACAACCCAATTAAAAACAATAAGCAAGCCCAGCAGGTGTGGCTCAGTGGATTGAGCATCATCCAATGGATTGAGAAGTCCCGGTTCAATTCCAATCAGGGCCCATCCCAGGTTGTGGGCTCCATCCCCAGCAGGGGGTGTGCAGGAGGCAGCCAATCCCTGTTTCCATCTCTCTCCTTTCTCTCTCTAAAAAATCAATACAAACATTAAAAAAAACACACACACAAAAAGCAATAAGCAAAGCCCAGGAACGAACACTTCCCCCAGGAGAAACACAGATGGCAAACCAGAACACGGAAAGATGGTCACATCATTGGTCATGAGGGTATTGCAAATTCAAGCCATGATGAGATACCACAAGACACTGTTAAAATGGCTAAACTTCTAAAAACTGACCGTAGCAAATGTTGACAAAGATGTGGAACAGCCGCAAACTTCCTACAGTGATGGTTGAAATGGACAAGGGCATAGCCCCTTGAACAAACCACTGGGTGGTTTCTCACGAAATTTAACACACACTGAGCATAGAGTTGCTACCCACTCACAGTATTCATCCAAGTGACAATGAAGACATATTTCCGCATGAAGACTTATCAAAAGCTTTTCTCAGCTTTACTCATAATTACCAGACATTTGAAAGAACTCAAATAGGCAGCTGTTAGTGAATCAATAAACAATGGCTAGTATCCATACGATGGAATATTGCTCCTTAACGTAAACGAATGGACTACAGACATATGCAAAATATGCATGAATCTCCAAAAAATCATGCCCTAAGCCAAAAAAAAAAAAAAATCAAACATTAAATACAGCATGCTTTATGATTCCATTTATACGAAACTGTAGGAAAAGGGGCAGCAACAGTGATGAAAACAAATTCGTCATCGTTAAGGGGTGGTGATGGAGATTGTCAAGGAGCAGCAGGAATTCTGGGAGTGTGTTTACACGCACATACAGATACTCACGTGGAGGTGTACATATATCTATATGTTTAAAACAGCTTTATTCATAATTGTCAAAAACTGGAAACCACCCACATGTCTGCCAGTTGGGGAGTAGAAAACTGGGGTGGACCCCACAGTGAAAAATGACTGAGCCATGAGAAGGGAGAAGCTGTTGGGGCACGCAGCGACACACAGGATCTCAAGTGCATTTTGCTAAGTGATACCTGTTACATGATTTCATGAACTGGCATTTCTTGCAAAGGCAACATTTTAGGCAAAAGGAATGGGCAAGGGCTGGGGGATGGAGGAGAGGTCTGTCACCAAGGGGCACAGGGTCGTCTTGGGGGATGGATCTGTCTGTATCTCGGCGGTGGTAGTTAAACTCTGCTTGTCAAAACCTTCAGCACTGTATACTGAAGTGGGTGGGTTTTCCTGTGAATTACACTGCGATAAAATAAGAAAGGGGAAAAGGTTATCTGTATTTGAAAAACCAGAAGTGGTCTCTGGGGGTAAAAAGGGTGGGCCAAGACTCAAGACAATATACAGAGAATGATTCAGTTGGTGTATAAAAAAGTAAATATTTAGGCATTTGTTGTTCTATCTGAAGATACATACAACTTGCTACTCTGGGGATACAATAATGAAGAGAGTTCCGATTTCTTGTCGTTGTTTTCACGTTCACTTTGGTTACCTGGTTCTTGGTACTATTATATAGATACAGGATACAAACTGCCCCAGAACCTAAGCACGATCTTTTTGTCCAATGGCCTTAGGCCCCGCCCCCCTGCTCACACAGGCAGGCCCCGCCCCCCTGCTCACACAGGCAGGCCCCGCCCCCCTGCTCACACAGGCAGGCCCCGCCCTCCCCTGCTCACACAGGCAGGCCCCGCCCTCCCCTGCTCACAGAGGCAGGCCCCGCCCCTCACTTGCTCACAGAGGCAGGCCCCGCCCTCCCCTGCTCACAGAGGCAGGCCCCGCCCCCCTGCTCACAGAGGCAGGCCCCGCCCCTCACTTGCTCACAGATGCAGGCCCCGCCCTCCCCTGCTCACAGAGGCAGGCCCCGCCCCCCTGCTCACACAGGCAGGCCCCGCCCTCCCCTGCTCACAGAGGCAGGCCCCGCCCCTTACTTGCTCACAGAGGCAGGCCCCGCCCTCCCCTGCTCACAGAGGCAGGCCCCGCCCCTCACTTGCTCACAGAGGCAGGCCCCGCCCCTTACTTGCTCACAGAGGCAGGCCCCGCCCTCCCCTGCTCACAGAGGCAGGCCCCGCCCCTCACTTGCTCACAGAGGCAGGCCCCGCCCCTCCCCTGCTCACAGACGCAGGCCCCGCCCCTCACCTGCTCACACAGGCAGGCCCCGCCCCTCACCTGCTCACACAGGCAGGCCCCGCCCTCCCCTGCTCACAGAGGCAGGCCCCGCCCCTCACTGTCACCTGCCGATCCCCTCACCTGGAAGAGCCTTGCCTTCATGTACATGGTGCCGTAACCATCCCGGCAGCTGAGATAAAACATGCCGGTGAAACGGGAGCCATCTGGCCACATGTAGGTACCAAAGCCGTGGCGGTGGTCCCGGTAAAACTGCCCCTGGTAGGACTGTGGACAGAAAGCTCTGTGGGGGGGGTGTCTGAGAGCTGCCCTCGCCTCCCAGAACCTCACAGGACCTCCTCCCCACTGAGCCACCATGCCTGGCCAGCACGAACGGGGACCATTGGGGTTGTAAACTCATGGGGTGCCTGTCCACAGGGTCCCCTTGAAGTTCGGGTGGCCAACGTGACAGAGCTTGGTCACCCAAATCATGCAGAGGAGGTGCCAGGCAGTCAGCCCCCCGTGGCCATGCTCCCTCCTGCTTGGCTCAGGTGTGTGTGTGGGGGGGGGGGTCAGAACAGCCTGGACATCCTGAGTCAGGAAAGAAAAGGCCATAATGGGGTCAGTGTCCACCCTAGGTCTGGGCAGAACCTGTCTCCCCTCAGGATCTCCGGCCTGGGCTCAGCTCTCACCCTGCCCAGCCACCACTCAGGTTCATGGACAGCAGGCTGGCCCAAGGAGTGGGGGGCTGCCAGCCTCGGGGTCACCCGTGCCGCCCTGTGGGGAGGGCTGTGGGCTCTGGCTAGGAACCTGAGTGTAACTGATTTAACACTCAGCGTTGAAGCCACGGATGTGGGCCTCCGTCCGTGCTAGGGGTGGGGCTATCCGCCTGCCACTCCACTGGGACCAGGAGGGAATCGCCAGCCTCCGCTGCGGCGCCCGTCAGAGGGCTGCCTTCTGCGCCAGGGCAGGCGGAACAGCGCACAGTCCACTGGCCGAGCTCTGCTCAAAGGGGACGCTTCTCGTCCCTCGCCAGCCTCCGCTGCGGCGCCCGTCAGAGGGCTACCTTCTGCGCCAGGGCAGGCGGGACAGCGCTCAGTCCACTGGCCGAGCTCTGCTCCAAGGGGACGCTTCTCGTCCCTTGTCTTCCCTCTGGCAATTCAGATGGCTCACACCCGTGGGAGTGGACAAAACTTCGCCTACCCAGCCACCACCTGCACATGTGTCGACACTGGGCCAGCTGGAGGACTCCGATCCCCCGTCCCAGCCTTGATTTGGGTTTGGCCACAGGGCCCATCCCCAAGCCAGACCAGGGTCCTGCTGGGGCCTTTTTCCTTCCAAGACTGTGTGACGCCACCCCTGTGGGTTTGCCAGATAGCAGAAGGCCAGTCTTGCCCCCTCTACCAATGAAGGTGGGGAGAGAAAGGGCCTGGCGGGTCATTCGAACCCGGGACCCAGCCACACGGAGGGCTACGGGACCCCTGTGAGGAGCTTCCAGTTACAGGAGCCAACAAGGCCCTTTTCGGTTCAGCCAGGTCTAACTTAAGGTCTGTTGGGTACTCCTCCGAGAGAAGGCGGGCAGTGCCGGAACCTGGCGGGCAGAGAGGACCCACGCTGGGGGACGGCCTGCCTTGCCCCCAACTTTCCTTGTGTACAATGACGTGGGGAGTATCCGTCTGCTCGACTGGAAAGTAAAGCCCACACTGCACACCGTACAGGATGCTGGGATGTTTCACCATCAGCATGAGAGGCTCTGCCACGCCCAGCACTGGGCCAGTGTCCCCCTGCTTCCGTCCAGTCCTCCTCAGGCCCTGCACAGACCGGGGGCTTCATCTGACCAGCAGAGCTGACGTGCTTGGTCCTGTTCTCCAACACAGTCAACATGTTCATGGTCATTGCATGACAGTGGCGCACCCTCTGCCTACTGGCCTCCAGTTCACAAGCCATGTCTGCTCGGTGGGCCCTGAGGGCCCTGCCAGGTCCCTGCTGTGCTCTCCCTTCACGGGGAGAACCTGGAGTTGGGAGGACAGGTCGGCGTACCTGAATCCCCTCCCCTACCCCACCATGTGGGCACCACCGTGAGAGGGCACAATGTCAGGTGAAAGAGAAGCCAGCCAGGGACTAAGAAGCCAAGACGTTAGCCTGGCCACCCTCCTGTTGCTGGACCTACGAGTTCACATCACACCCCTCTCCGAGGAATGGAGATGGGCCCTGGAGGCCAAGCCCCAGGTGAGGAGGGAAGGAAGCACCGGAAGCCAGTTACCTCGCCTGTGGGCCACGAGAATTCTCCATACCCCAGCTTCATGTCCAGCCCGAAATGCCCTCGGTAGACGCAGCCGTCTTGCCACTCCTGCATACCTCGGACCAGCTGGACATAGGCCTCCTTCAGGTCCTGCTCCCTAAGGGGGTCCTGGGACTCCTCCTCCTCCTCCTCCAGGGTCCCTGGCACATTCCTGGGGGCGTGAGGGCAGTGAGAGCCAAGAACTGAGCTGGCCGGAGGTCTCGAGAGTGACTGTCTGAGAACCGCACTCCACCACACTGCATCCTCCCAACGACCCTGGGGCAGGGGCTGTTGGGACCCTCATTCTCCAGAAAGGGAAACTGAGGCAGCGAGGGCACAGTCATTGCCCAGGTCACACAGGACGTGGAACGCACAGTAAGGCCGTCTAACAAGGGTAATGGGGTGGGTGCAGCCAACGGTACCACATCGAGGTTTGTGATTTCTCCAGAGACTCGTTTTTTGAGGGATCATACAACTTTTAGGGATTTCTTATCTTAACACCTGCCCCCAAAGCTGGATCCCAGCGAAGTCTGGTCCTCAGAGTCAGAGTCAGACTTCCCTATAGGAGGGTTCCCACACCTTTTGGAGAAGAGGGTGGAGCTCTCCAGGGTCCCTGGGTCCTCAAAGGCAGCAGGCTCGCTGCCCCTCCCCTTCACCTGGCCATCACGTGGGACTTGGTCTGAGTTATAGCCACTTTCCATGTCTCTCTTCTTTGAACCTGGAAGCAAAGCCAGGGACCCACATTAGCTCTCAGGGCTCCTGGCAGGCGCCCACTGACTGCCCACAGCCCACCGGCCCCAAAGGAACGACCCCCTCCCCTGACCCGACGGGGCCCAAGGCCGTGCCCCAACCCATTCCATCAGAATCCCCCGGGAAACCTTCGAGGAGCTCCGAGGTGGTTCCTGTCCCTGCGAGGGGTGGGAGCCACAGGAAGGGCGTCGGGGCCACCCTCCCACGACCACAAGTTAGAGTCCCATGGCGGGGTCGGTCCTGCACCGGCTAATTGCCTGAGGTGGGGCACAGTCGGAGGGCGCCCCGTGCCCGGGGCCTCGGGAGCCAGCCCGCGAGGGCAGCAGGACCGGGCGCGGCCCCTACCTAACCCTAACTCACAGCCTGTCACTCACGTCGGGTCTCCAACGCCTCTGCTCCCCCGCAGGGGGGCAGGACCCACGCACAGGCCCCCACGGGCGCCGCCTCAGAGTCAGAGACCCCCACACACTGCGTCCCCCCGCGACTCGGGGGTCCCCGCCGAATCCCGACCGCGCCCTGCCGCGGGCTCGCCCCGAGGCTCGGAGAGCGCAGGGCGAGCGCAACTGGCCTGCCTGCTGCAGCCGGATCGGCTCGCCAGCCCCTCCGACGCCGCGCCGAGCCCGAGAGCGTCGGTTTCCCTGGAGACCGCCCCGCCCACGTGCCCGCTACGCTCCCGGCCTGGCCAATCCGGCGCCCCGCCTCTCCCGGACACGCCCCTGGCGTCCAGGGGTCGCGCGAGGTGTTCCCCTCTGTGACCTCACAGGGTTCCGTGGCCGGGCGCCCCGGTGCCCCCAGCGCCCCGCACCTCCGCGCGTGCGGCCGTCCTTCGCTCTGCGCCCAGCCAGAGCGCGGCGACCCGGCAGGTCGCTCTCCACCCCGACATCGACCTCGAGGCCCTGAGCCGAGGGCACCCCGGGGAGATAGCGCGAAGTGCTCCCGGGTCCAGAGAGCCCCGAGGAAACTGGGGCACACTGCGGGGTAAATTAACTCGTCTGCGGGGGCGGGGAAGCAGGGGTTTGGTCAAGCTCTGCCCGCTCCGAAGCCGGTTTCCGTCGGTTCAGTAACTTGGTGGAAGGCCCAGAGGGGGAGCTCATGGCTTGGTGGGGGGACGAGATGAGGTAGGGGCCTCGGGTCACTGGGAGAGGATTCGCTCTCTGATCGGTCGGGTCAGAGGTTGACAGAACACCTTTTCTTTTGGGACCACATTTTAGTATTTAGAACGGCTTTGCCAAGATCACCAACTCGTCAGATTTAACAGGTTTTTTTGTTTCGTGTTTAACTATTGTTTAGTCTTTTGTGTTGGGCGAAGTATTCTGTTTCCTAAAGCTGCTGTCACAAAGCATGATAAACTGGGCGGCCCAGCCCGGCGGTGGGGCTCAGTGGACTGAGGGCGTGGCAACTCTCCAGGCCAGTGCCCTGGGGCAGGCTGTCCTTCTCCTGCATGGTCTGTGGTGGGGTCACGCATGAGGGGCTGGAACGCCCCAGAGGCACAGGCAGGGACAGAGGACAGCCCAGGCCAGGGGACACTCGGAAGAGGCAGCCCTCGGCAGAGAGGGTGCATCACGTCCCCACATTTCTAACGTGTCCCAGGGACGAGGGACACCCAGCTGCTTCCAGGTGGGGGTCTGCTCTCGGGGACAGGAACCTGTGTGCCCAAGGACAAGAAGGGAACTTCACCTCTGCAGTAGTCTTTCCAAGAACCCATAGCTCCAGTATAATCAAGAGTAAAACAGCCCGCCGGTGTGGCTCAGTGGACTGAGTGTCCTCCCATGGACTGAGAGGTCCCGGTTCCATTCCCAGTCAGGGCACATGCCCGGGGTGCGGGCCCCAGTAGGGGGCGTGCAGGAGGCAGTCAGTTGACATGAATGTTTCTCAAAAAAAAAAAAAAAATCAATAAAAACATTTAAAAAATTGTTTTTAATGGGCAGCTTAAAACAACAGAAGTTATTATTTCCTCTGTTTGGGTCTCCAAATCTTCCTCTCCTTGTAAGGACACTAATCCTTTGGTTTAATCCAGTATGACTTCATTATACCTGCAAAGACACTATTTCCAAATAAGGTAATTAACAGGTACCAGAGGTGAGGACTTCGCCACTAACCCACAACAGGTGATGTGGTTTAACAGGTTGGTAGGATATTTTGAAGTTTTAGCTGACTTGCTCTTTTCACAAATTTCACACGGTGCATTTTGCCTCTGCTCAGCTTCCCAAACTGCAGTTGGAGGGAACAGGAAAGCAGGCTCCCCTGAGGAAGCAGGTGTCAGGTCCAGAAGGTGGCCCAAACTAAGCGCAGCAATCAAGGTGGAGAGAACAGACCGGAGGGAGACTTGTTACTCGTTCATTAGCTCAGTGGGGTGAAGGAATGCGAAATATCAGGCAGGAGACCTTGGAAACCTCCCCGGGTCGCAGGGACCTCCACCTGCAGCTCTAGAAGCCCCGCCTCGTAGGTCGGCGGCCAGGCCCCGCCCTCCTCGCCCCTAGCCAATCAGAGAAGGGGCCCGGCAGGGCTGACTAATGAGGAGGCGGCCACGCCGTGTGGGCGGGCCCCGCTCGTGCACAGCGCCGACGCGACCCGCCCCGGCCGGCCCGCTGCGATGCCTTTAAGACCCTGGGAGCCGGGCGGGCGGCCAGACCTCCCAGAATAGACCCCGGGCAGGCCCTGGGGCGCGCCATGGACGCGGGGCGAGCCGGACGCCTCGGGGGCACCGAGGCCGCACCGCCGCCGTTCGCGCACGTCGCCCCCTCGCTCTTCCTCGGGAACGCGCGCGCCGCGGCCGCGACGGAGCTGCTGGCGCGCGCGGGCGTCACCCTGTGCGTGAACGTCTCGCGCCAGCAGCCGGGCCCACGCGCGCCCGGCGTGGCCGAGCTGCGCGTGCCCGTGTTCGACGACCCGGCCGAGGACCTGCTGGCGCACCTGGAGCCCACCTGCGCCGCCATGGAGGCCGCCGTGCGCGCCGGCGGCGCCTGCCTCGTCTACTGCAAGAACGGCCGCAGCCGCTCGGCCGCCGTCTGCACCGCCTACCTCATGCGGCACCGGGGGCTCAGCCTGGCGCGGGCCTTCCAGGTGGGGCGGGGCCGGCGTGGGGGCGGGCCTTCCAGCGGGGCGGGGCCAGCGCGGGGGCGGATCTTCCAGGTGGGGCGGGGCCAGCGTGGGGGCGGGCCTTCCGGCGGGGCGGGGCCATCGCGGGGGCGGGCCTTCCAGGTGGGGCGGGGCCTTCCAGGTGGGGCGGGTTCCGGCGGGGCGGGGCCATCGCGGGGGCGGGCCTTCCAGGTGGGGCGGGCCTTCCAGGTGGGGCGGGGCAGTCGCGGGGGCGGGCCTTCCGGCGGGGCGGGGCCATCGCGGGGGCGGGCCTTCCGGCGGGGCGGGGCCCGGCGGGGCGGGGCGGGGCCCTCTCGGGGTGGTGGGCACTTGACCTTCCAGCAAGCGCTGTGCCGCGCTTAACGAGCTCCCTCGTTTGCAGGCCGTGAAGAGCGCCCGCCCGGTGGCCGAGCCCAACCCCGGCTTCTGGTCTCAGCTCCAGAAGTACGAGGAGGCCTTGCAGTCCAGCTCCCGCCCACTCCCGGAGCCGTCGGGACCCTGAGCCCTGGGGGTCAGCCTAACCCCAAGCCAGGACTCCGAGACGGACTCAGAGGTTCCTGGGATTACGTGGTCCCCCCACAGCTCCAGCTCACTGGACAAAGCTCCGTCAGGAAGATCAACACCACTTGACCCTTAGGCAGAAAGACATTTATTACAGGGAAATCAAGCCGGAGGCCGTGGTCAGGAGATGGGGAAGTTCAGAGAGGTCACAGAGACCTGCCACCATGATGCTGGCTGCCGGCCACTGGACGTGGGCAGCTCTGGGAGGAGGCCTGGGGCTGCTGGCCAGCTCGTGCCTGTCACGTGCAAGCTCATAACAGCCTCACACAGATCCCCTCAGGTCTCAGAGCCCCACGTGGGACCTGGCCCGCAAGGCCCATGGTTTCCAGACCTGTAGCTGCTGTGACATGCAAGCAAGAGTACCCACCTCGTACCTCACTTACCTCCCGGTTTCAGCAAAGCACTGAGCCCCTGCCTGACCCCAGCAGCCCCCAGCAGCCCCCGTCACATGCACACACCGGCCACGTGTGCATCTGAGCGTGTGCCTTCCTCTTCTGGATCACAGGCACCTTACCTGGACAGCCTATGGCCGAAAGTTGATACCAGAAAATGTATCACCATGAACACGTCTTCAATAAGATAGCGGGGCAAAGAAAAGGAAAAATTGGGTAATACATGTCGAGCAATAATCGGTGCCAGTTCAATGCCAACAGGAACCCCCCAATGTAGGGTGTGGTGAAGAAGGAAACCATTCGCTACAAAGCTCAATTGCGACATAGCAGTTGTTTTAAAATGGCACAGCTCTCAGGCAGCCCTGAGGCCAGGCCCCTGTCTGGCTCCACAGCTCTGCTCTGCTCCTCGATGTTCTGCTCCACGGGGTCTGCTTTGTGCTGGGCTGCCCTGCGCTGCTCCGTCAAGACACTCTCCGTGGGAGAGACACAGTCTTCATCTGAGATGGAACGAGAAAGCCCACGCAGCCAGAGGGCAGCTGGCTTATACGGACAGAATCCCTGCCCCTGGTCCCTGATGCGTCTATCCTCCTGCAAATGATGACTCCAAATCCTTGCAGCTTGGGCCAAAGGGCACTTTGCTGATTGGTCAGAATGGAGCTGCTCTGGTTGGTGAAGATGTTGCTGCACAGCTCCGATTGGATCGAGAACGGCTCAGTCCTATTGGCTGAAATGGGATTCCAGGAATTCCTTTAGAGGAGCTGGCTCAGATGTCGGAAACACAGTGGAGGCAGGCAGGTCAGTGCAGTTATGTGAGAGGCTCCTTGTGCAGAAAAGACCGATGGGCTCTTTCTCTTAAAATGTGAGCCCAGTTGGCCACCAGGAGCCCTTCTTAGTAGGTGTCTTCTTTCTCAGGGTTTGCCGTGTGAATTTCAGATACTATAGTTCCTGGTTAATATGTAGAAATATATACATGATGAGGTGATGAATAAAATAACCATAAACACCATGTCCCTTTTCCACTACTCAGCTCATGTCCCCTCCACCCTCAGCCAGCTCCCCGCTGGAGCTGGTCTTTCCTGGTGGGATAACAAGCCATCACCCTGCAGGGGCCCTGAGTGGACCTGCCTGCATTTTTACACTGGCCCGTTTCCTTCCCCACACAATCTGGGCAGCATCAGGAGTGTGCTGAGCCCCAGCATGCTCCTCTGACCCCCACCGAGCAGCAGCAAAACCCCAGGATCAACCGCTGCACCCAGCAGAGCTACCCTGATTTGCCTGATGCCTCCGCTGTGAGGTGGCGAGTCAGTCTCCCATTCAGGGAACGTGGTGTGACCCCGGGTGTGAGCATCCTGCCGGGGAATGAAGACCTCTGACCCAGCAAAGCCCAAAGCTGTGGGAACAGGAAGCTCACGCTCTGTAATTGAGGCATGAGTGGTCATGATAGCGGCCTCCCCCTCCCTGACCCCCTTGCGCCTGAAATGCGACAGGAACAGTGCCATCCACTGGTCCCTGGCTCAGATCATACACCACCACACCCGCCCCACTCGATACCATCAGTCGGTATCCTGAGAGCTGAAGCCCCAGACACAGCTCCACTTCTACCTCAACAGAAGGCCCGCCAGCTGCTGTTTACTCCCCAAGCCCCTCATAGCTCATCACCATTTCATCAACCCCATGGGGGTCTACTGCCATCTTCTCCACCCAGCAAGTGCCCCACTGGCTCCATCTGCAACTCCGGGAGCCAAGCAAGTTGTCCAGCGTGAAGGTCAGGAGCAAGGACCCGAGAGCAGGCCGTTACCTGCGTGCTCATGGCACCCCAGACGGCACACCCTAAGCTGCCAGCCTGGCTCTGGCCTGGTCGTAGGACATCTGTAGGTCACGTCAGCTTTTTTATCCCATTATTCAACTGTGGCTCCCGCCAGGGACCCAGTTACCCCCAAGACCTCTGTCCAGGGGACAACACAGCCCCGCCTGAATGCCACTTCCTCCCGAAAGCCTTCACACCTGCCTCCCAGGAGGTGGGGCCAGGGACCACTCTCCTCCCTGGACCCTGCCACTTGAATGGGGTGCATGGACCATGTGTATTAGGGGAGGGCTGGGGTGTAGGTGGAATGTCAGCTGCTTCAGCCCACCCGTGGGCCAGGGTTTGATCACGAAGAGGCTGGAGTATGAGAATTCCTGCTGAGAAACCCCAGCCCTGGCAGTCCAGACTCCCATGTCGATCCGCTGGTCAGGTCGGGGCTGCTGAGGGAGCTACACTGCAGCCACCCCAGACCTTTGTCAGCAGGGCAGCGACAGGGCAGAGTGGAGAAAACTACCATGGGGCTCACAGGGTGCTTTGACGGGTCTATTTGCTCCTCCAAGACTGTCTTGTGTCATCCCCTTATATGTGAGGGGTGAAAGGCGCCGCACCCCGGGGCATGCTTTGCACCTGAACACACATCTTCCCTCTTGTCCATCCTTCCTACCCCTGGAGGAGGACAGCAGGCCGGATCACAGGGTCACTGGTGGGCACACAGTCCAGAAGAATTCAGCACTACTCAGGGATGACACTGAGGTCAAATGCAGTCTCAGTCCAGCAGGGGAGAGAGGTGTGCAGGGTTCCGGATGCTCTCCAGGCCAAAAAGCCCCTTCTCTCCAGCCCTGAGTTCTCACACAATGAAGACAGCAACATCTTGGTGGTCCTTCTCATCCCATGGCTTTGAGGTCCGCCTGACACCCTTTCACTGGGTATCATGGCCTAGTCTGCAGCCATCCCCTCTGCGCCCAGGTCCCAGCACAGGACTGGGCAGGTGGGGTGGGGGCAGGCGGGCCAGGTGCTGTTATCTCCCATCACTCACCTCCTAAGCATTCTGACCTCCAGGGCCCTGCCTGCTGCTGGGCAGCACTGTCCAACAGAATTTGCTTCCATGATGGAACACCCTCTCTGTCCAGTGTGGCTACCACTAACCGCACACTGCACTCCGAACACGCGGGGACCTCAGCGCAGCTGGGCAGCTGAGGAGCTGAACTTAATGGCTAGTGGCCACGTGAACTGACAACAGCCCTCAGACTCCGCCTCTCCCCACAAGACCCACCACAGGGCCGCCGCCTCACCGGGGACTGGGTTGGGGGAACATAAGAAGCACTCCTTCAGCCCCCCGTGGACGAGTAACACTGAGTTCCAGATGCCACACTTGTTGGCTTCACGGAGGCAGCCCCGCACCAGGTGTCCCAGCAGCCACTGCCCCAGGAACCTAGCCCGCCGCATCCCCGAGGGAGCGGCGACTCCTGGGGTCTCCCGGACTTGGGCCAGCTAGGAAGCACACAGGGCGGGGAGGCCACCTCGCTGCCTGTCACACCATGGCCCCAGCACAATGCCCGCGGTCGACAGCTCCGGCTCACGGCCCCTCACCCCCACCCCCGTGCATATAGCTCCGGCCCCCACGCACAGAGCCCTCCACACCCGGTCCCCCGCGCACAGCGCCCCCGCCACCCGGTCCCCCGCGCACAGCGCCCCCGCCACCCGGTCCCCCGCGCACAACGCCCCGGCCACCCGCTCAGAGCGCCCAGGCCACCCGGTCCCCGCGCACAGCGCCCCCGCCACCGCGCACAGCGTCCCGGCCACCCGGTCCCCCGCGCACAGCGCCCCGGCCACCCGGTCCCCCGCGCACAGCGCCCCCGGCGGCGGCCGAGCGGAGCCGGAGCGGGGCGGCGCACGGCGCGGGGCCGGGCCGGGCGGCTCCCGGCGCGACTTCCTGTTGTGCCCGCGCCCCGCCGCCGCCCGGCACGTCCCGCCGGCTCCCGGCCCGGCGCGCGCCGCCCATGGATTTCACCTAGCGCAGGCATGGCGGCGCAGTGCTGCTGCCGCAAGGCGCCCGGCGCCGAGGCCGCGCCCGCCCGCCCGCCGCCCGAGCCGCCGCCCGCCCTGGACGTGGCTTCGGCCTCCAGCGCGCAGCTCTTCCGCCTCCGCCACCTGCAGCTGGGCCTGGAGCTGCGGCCCGAGGCGCGCGAGCTCGCCGGCTGCCTGGTGCTCGAGCTGTGCGCGCTGCGGCCCGCGCCCCGCGCGCTCGTGCTCGACACGCACCCGGCCCTGCGCCTGCACTCGGCGGGCTTCCGCCGCGCCCCCGCCGCCGCCGCCGAGCCGCCCTGCGCCTTCGCCTTCGCCCCCGCCGGCCCCGGGGCCGCGCCCCCGCCCCCGCTGCCCGCCTTCGCCGCGGCGCCCGGCGCCGAGCCCGCCTGCTGCCCTCTGGCCTTCAGGGTGGACCCGTTCACCGACTACGGCTCCTCGCTCACCGTCACGCTGCCGCCCGAGTTGCAGGCGCACCAGCCCTTCCAGGTCATCCTGCGCTACACCTCGACCGACGCCCCTGCCGTGAGTCCCGTCGGGGGTCGGGCGATGCGCTTGTCGTGGGTGGTCTCCAGGCACCCTCTGCCCGCTCTGCCAGCCTAGGGTCCAGGGCCTGCGGCTGGGGAACCCGCCGAGAAGCAGGGCCAGACGAGCCCCGGAGGGGCCCTGGCCTCTCCCCTGGCACTTCCCCACCTGGCCTTCGAAGCCTGCCCAGGGTCCCTGGCTGAGTCCCGGCGGGTGCCTGGGGAGCCCAGTGCCGACCCAGTGGGTGGTGGGAACAGGGAACAGCGTGCCACCAAGGAGGCTGCTCCGTTCAGGTGTGTTGGGGACACAGGGCAGCTTCTGGCAGGCCCTGGCCAGTCCGTGGAGCCTGACACCAGGGCGGACCAGGGGTGTCACAGGTGGAAGGGCCGTGTGGCCTGGGCCTTCTGAGCACCTGTGGGCACCAGGTGTGTTCTTTGGAGGTGGCATGAGGGACACACCTGGCAGAGCAGAGGCCCAGGGTCAGGTTGGCTCCAGGCTTTGGCCCTCGAGGACTGGTGGGATGCTGCGGCTGAGTGGCCTCATGTCCCCGACAGACCCACCCAAGCTCTGCAGGACTTTGCACACAGAGCTCGCAGTACTCCAGAGGCCCTGCCAACAGGGCTGGACGGCCCTGGGCTTCCTGTGGACAGCGCACCTGTGACTCCACCCCTACACACACACACAC